GAACCTAATGATAAGTAACTTTTTAAACGTCAAGGGGCTAAATTTAGGGACTTACTATATTTTGATCAGTACTATATTTATGGTATTTATATGAATCTTGAGGTTGGAAAAATTAAATAAATATTAAAATATTTTTTACAAACTTACAATGCTTTTGTAAATAGCTAAAAAAAAAAAAAAATCAAGAATCAAAAAATCAAAAATCAAATAAAATCATTAATCAAAAAATCAAAAAATCAAAAAATAATAGTTTAGCGTAAAGTAAATGTATTTTTTAGTAAGTTTGTATTTACCTTATTACTCCTTAAATATGTCCTTAACATATACCCAGTGAGCACGGGACCTAAAAAAGACGTCTTTTGAACGTTCAAAAAACGATCAAAAGGCGTTCTAAACGTTCAAAAGACGTTTAAAAGACCTCTCTTATACGTCTTTTGACCACTGGGTAGGACTTGAGAAGATTGTGCAAACAAGTTATTAAACCTTTTTACATATTACCACACTACCTTGATTATGGTACTATTTTAATTTTAATACAAATTTAATTTCATAACATTATTAAAAGGTGCCATCATCTCTAAAACCTTTATTCATTAGATCATATTTTAGTAGTGATTGACCAAAAATATCAACATCATTAACTCCATTACTCCTGCAAATCTTTTATGATAGTTGAGATAAATTTATAAATTTAGTAATTAAATTGAATCGATAACTTTCTAAATAAAGCATAAATTAATAAATTAAGTTTAATGATTATAATGGTTTCACAGTCGAAAATAAAATTCAATACTTTTGTTTTGATAATCATAAAGCATTTTAACCTGACTTTTTTGATTCTTTTTTGTATATTTAGTAGCTGCATAATCTGTAAAAACATCATAAATTTTTTGACGTATCAATTTATTCTTTTTAATGCATGTTTTATTATTATCATTGGTTTTATTTTATTTTATTTTTTTTTTAATGAGTTTTGCTACGGTAAAATAATTATTTATTGAATTTTCATTATTAACAGTTATTATTATTTTTTCTTTTCAATACTTATATAGCTCAAGCGGAAATAATAAACATAGTTTTGCAATGTTTTATTTATATTATACTTCTTTTTAGTATAAATCAGTTAATGAAAGTGGTTTCAACTACAATAAAAAACGATGTTTCAAATCACCTTTCAATATCCGGCATTAAAACTTGGAGAGGAAGCAACCACTATATATTTGTTCTTCCTAATGTTAGAGAATTTAATAAAAAGTAGCTTAAAAATAAAAAATAGTTTTAAATAAAAAAGAAACTGCTGAAAAACAGAAAAAAGTATATACAAAAAAGCAGGTAATTCAGACAAATGCATAGAATAAATATGTGATCATAAACTGTGACAATCAAATAATGAATTCAGACATGACACAAACTTTAAAATGGCTTAGTAAACCAGGTAAATCAGATTCAGACAATTCAAGTTCAGAAACTGGTAAACAGTTGAGGGTATCTTTAGCAAATCTAGCAAGAAAGGTTGACAGGTATAGCATTTCAAATTGTGATGCAGCCTCTATTACCACAGCTCTATCAAATTGTGATGCAGCCTCACTTACCACAGCTGTATTTGTGAATTTGGTATTATGACTAATGCATTAAAGAAAGAAAAACATTGAAGTAAAGAATAAGAGAGAGCATAATGTTATAAGAACAATTTGAAGAAAATGATATTACATGTTTTGATAATATTACTTCTTTGTATTTTAATGATAGAAATGGTCATACATTAAGCAGGGGAAAAAAACAGGTAAATTGTAAGTCGGTACTAAAATAAATGCGCAAATATGCTCGTTGTTAAACCTCGAAGTAACTATCTACCATATGTTTTATCAAAATTTAGTAAAATCAAAGGCACTGCTGATTATATATTGTCTATTATTTTATTTTTGGTTGTAATACCACAAATGTTAGCTCAGGTTCTAAAGAAGGAGTAATACACTTAGAGTAAACTTAGAGAAAGCGTTATTAGGTCCGTCTCTTTTTTACTTGCCTTCTGCACAAAAGTAAAGTTAATATTTACTTAATGGATTAAGGTATATTTTTAAACAGCTTGATGGTCCAATATTAGGCAGAGGTTTGTTAACAGGACCAATTGGTAAAGCCATACAGATATGTGAAAACATATTTTTAACCTACTATAGGCAGAAACGGATTTTCTATATTATCGAAAGAAGAACTTTATGATCTTAGTAAAGATCAGCAGTATATGAATAACATTATTCCTGCCATAAGAGTAGGAAATGTTAAGGTCAATTAAGAAGGTTCCATGTGATTTTTGGCACTTACTGATAAAATGCTCGGAAAGTATCGTAATTCGTCGAGTTACCCCTGCTGCCAACTAGCCTTGGTTAAAATTATTTTTTTTGTATATAGTGACTTAAAGATTTTTCAAAAGTTTTGCAAATTTTTATGACCATAAGTATGCAATTTTTTTTAAAACAATTATTTTAAGCAGCTTATTAATGACTAATTATAAACGCAGCTTAAGTAAAAAAAAAGAATTTTTTTGAAGTTGCAAAAAAAAACTTGTTTCAACAAGTTTTATTTTTTAATAAAATAAAAAGCAATAAAATATAAATGTTTGTAATCACGCACAATTAACTTGTGAAAAAATTATTTATAACAATCTCAAATATGTATAAGCCTTTACGTATCCTATTTGTTAATTTAAACAGGTTTTGAGGTAAATAGGTATCAGACCAAAAGCTTGTGTTTACGCTTCGTAAATATTTCGTTTATGTTTCAGTTGAGTTAATTGACGTTATTTATAAGTTGAAGTTAATAACTGAGGTTATTTATATTGTTCCACGAAATTGGTCAACCGTGAAAACTTAGTTAGGTTTCAATTTTTAACTTAATTTTTGCAACCTATAATTTTTTGATGAACTGATTTTTATCGTTTTGAATGCAAGATGAACTGATTTTTAACGTCTTAATTGGATGCATGTTTATTAGAATGCAAAAAAACTAATGAAATAATTTTTTATTATTTGGCTTCTTTGCGATTAGCTATTTAGGAGAAAGTTAAACATGGATATAAAGTAAACTCCCGTGTATTTAAATTTACTTTGAATAACCGAAGTTTTGAGTAACTAAAAAAACACATTAAATCTAGTATCTCGTAATTCTGATTTTTTTATAAATACAATACCTGATAATTTTGACTTTTCAGGAGGTACATTGTTTGACTCCTCATCTGTTTTCTTCTCTTTGTTTGACTTTTTATAGTAATTAGTCAGTTTTATAGAGTAATTACTCTTTCACCAAAAGGCTTAATAAATAAAACAATATTTACATAATAAAACAATATTTTACTTATTAAAAACTTAAAATTCCTTTTTTTTACATCTAAGTTACATGGAGAGGCTGGAAACCAGAACAAAAACAAAGATACGAGAATCTCTTGTCAACCAAAACTCATTAGAATAATTGTAAGATGATGAGTTTATTGAGATAACTTATTTGTAAATTGTAAAAATGGCTCTTTTTAAATAAACAAAACCACTGTTTCCTTCAATTTTCTGGGTTTCAAAAAATGTTAGAATTTTTGCGAAGGGTCTCGAATACTTGACGGGATTTTTTTTTTGTCAAAAAGAACAAAAAATCACTTCGAACAAATGAGATTTCTTTTAACTACATGTTTAAATAGCTGAAAATATTTACATGTTAATTTTGTTAATAAAAATGCTTATATAACTTATAAAAAACAGTTTTAAAAATAACAATTTTATTATGGTGAAATCAGTCAACTTATTTAAGTTTTTATAAATAAGAGAAATTTTAAAATAGTTTTTTTTTTTTAGCGAAGTGACGGCTATTTAATATTTAATATATGTGCTTGAGTTTATTTTAATTTGGCTTATGTTAAGAGAACCTTCATAGTTATATTTAACGATAAATATATATATATCATTCATATTGTCTTTGAGCTCCTATCTGCTATATATATATATATATATATATATATATATATATATATATATATATATATATATATATATATATATATATATATATATATATATATATATATATATATATATATATATATATATATATATATATATATATATATATATATATATATATATATATATATATATATATATATATTATATATTATATATATATATATATTTATATATATATATATATTATATATATATATATATATATATATATATATATATATATATATTTATATATATATATATATATATATATTTTAACTGAGTATATTTAAAAGTATATAACTATATATATATATATATATATATATATATATATATATATATATATATATATATATATATATATATATATATATATATATATATATATATATATATATATATATATATATATATATATATATATATATATATAAATATATATATATATATATATATATATATATATATATATATTACATATACATATTATATATATATACATATATATATATATATATATATATATATATATATATATATATATATATATATATATATATTTTTTTTTTTTTAACTGAGTAAATTTAAAAGTATATAACTATATATATTACAAATGCGTATAAATCTAACACTTGTAAAAAATTTGTATTGTAAGCAGAAAGAAAAAATTAATTTATGCCGTTATTAATTTAATTTATATTGTTATTATTTTAATATATGATGTTAAACTTGATATAAATAGATGGTATCACGGACAAGGACCAAACCTCAAATTGCAAAACCTCATTTCTTTCTATAACAGTTTTCAATACTTCTGCATATAATACATCTTTAGACACATCTTGTGCATAGTTTTACTCCTCCTCCTCCCCCCCCCCTCACCACCTTCCTTCTTTATTCTTCTTATTATATTATTATAAAGTATTTTTGATCTTTGTGCCTCTCTTAACTTCTTATTGTCACATTTTTGCTACGTAGCAATTAAAACTGTTGTTAAACTTGATTTAATAGGTAAATTGTTGGGAGAGTGGGAAATCTCTTTGTGATAAACTGAAAATTGCCATGTACCCAGAAATCCGGTTATATAGACACGGAGTGTATACAGAAACCTATGAAGGCGAAAGAACTGCAGGTTTGTAAAATAAACCTATTATGCTTCAAGATTTTATTATATAAATGTACTTACATTTTACTTACTGCTAAACAAGATGAATTTTAAATCAGAATCTAAGTTTGTTCTTTTCTTATTTTTTTTTAATCTTATTTTATATATTTAAAAATTATTCAACAAATTAATATTTTAGCTGCTCTTCTGGATTTTGTTCAAAGAGCTCAAGCAACAGCAGGTCACGTAGGGCCACCTGCAACTTCTTCTATTCTGCAAGTTCCAGTTGCAACTCCTCCTGCACCTCAACAAGTTGCAATACAGCCACCTGTTTTGAAACCAACTATGCCACCTTTGCAATATCCTCAGTATAATCCAACACCTCAGCCTTATCCACCGGCATATCCACCTGAAATCCCAAGTGTAAGTTACTCTTCACAGCCTAATCAGCCCCCAATACAACAGCAACTTTATCCTCCAAAAGTTCAACCTCCACCATATTTTCCTCCACCACCTCCCCCAAGGTTACCGCCACCAATGCGACAAGTTCCTCAGCCGTACAAACCATTGGCACCACCATATCTCCCACCTACACCGCCAAAAATGGTGGTAACCTCTGAGCAATTCTATACAACTCCTCTAAGTGGTGCATATCAAGCACCCCCAGGAGCAATAAACTTACCCATCCAAACTATTTCAGCTAAACCAGATCAAGGTAATTACTTTTAGTTATTTATTTTTAATTACTTGTTAATTTAATTGTTGTGTATGTAAGTTTTGTTTTCAAATTCCATTTTGTTAAAAACCTTATATCTTTAATTATTTATGTGTGTATTATTTAAACAAATATGTGTATTGTTTGACAAATATATGTATTGTTTATTGGCTTACTATAACAAAATTTCATTTTACAAATTGATTTTTAGATTCAAAATTTTTTTTAAAAGATTCGTGCACATTTTTCTAAATGTTGAAAACACAACTAATTATTAATCAAAATAAACTAAGGTTGTTTTTTAAAATAGCACGTAATAAAATATTTTTATTGCTTTTAAAGTAATTTACGTACATTTTACGTACATTACGTACAGAGTTTTAAGGATATATTATTTTCTATTAAACAACTGAAAGTTGTTAATTTTTCTGATGTAATGTTTATGTGAGTGAGGTTATGGTTTAACACCATCCGATAAAACAAGAAACGGTGGGATGATTTCAAAGAAAAATGGAAACATGATGTAGCATTACGCAAAGCAGATAACAAATATAATAAAAAAATATAATTGAAAACTGTTTTAATTGAAGAATTAAAAATTGTTTTAACAATTAAGAGAAACAATTCAATGAAGCCAAATATGATCACTTAAAAACTTCACATATTTGGAAATTCAATAAGTGTGGTTTAGTGGATGACCAAGACAAAACTTGAGTTTTATGCCAAAAAGGTACGAATCGCACTCTCAAACCGACATAAAAAAAAAATGAAAAAATTAATTATAACTTAAACAACTGTGTCTATCCATCACGTTTCTACTTATCAACTTTCGTCGTTTATAAACCAAAAAGATATAATTGGAATAAAAACATGGTGCAATCAGCACAGTGCATACATGATCAGATTTGGGATAGATATAGAAATCGCAATTTACTGAGTGGCTGAAATAACTATTCATACAAGCAAAAAAAGCAATTGGTTAAAAAAAATGTGTTATTGAAAATTATTAAACAACATCCGATTAGTTTGCCTATCAGCTCATTTATGTCATGTTTTGCAACGGTTGGACGTTGGAATATATTACCACGTTAAACATACCTGGAAAAAAGTATTAAAATTGTGTTATGATAATTTTACAAGTTTATTAAAAATTTTATATGAAAGTCGCAAGTGCTTCACCAATACACATCAGTTAGTGCTTTCAAGACAAGTTTATTTCTGATCAATGAATCCAATATTGATCAATCAAAATTGAATATAACATTAGCATTTAATTATCCAGCACAAGTCTGAACATCGTAAGTATTTCAGATGAATATTCCCAGTGGAGACGGGTCCTGAAAACGACGTCTTTTAGACGTCTTCCAAAACGTTCAAAAGACTTATAAAAGACGTCTTTTTTAGGCCCGTTACCCACTAGGTTTTTACTAAACACAGATCTCAGATAAAAATAGTTTAGGACCTGCATTGAAAACATTTTTGCAACATATTATTGCCTCTGATAAATAAATCCATCGTCCTAAAAAAAATTATGAAAGAATTGAAACAGAAGTTTTAAATGAAGCTAAAATAATTGGCAAAGTTCGAGCAATGGGTGAAGAATGAAATAAAAAAAAACTACAAAAAGAAACATAGACTTCGCAGAAGAAGCACTGGAGTCGGCAAAATGGGATAGTTGGCGTCGGCAACTATCAGCTAAAGAAGACCTTTTTTTTTCTTTTGCCTAAGTCGGCAAAAAACAGATACGTCACCCCCCTCCCCATTAAAATCTCTTCGGGACGGACCTGCTTCGCAGACAATGTAAAAATATAAAGTAAGCAGGACATCATTTTAGAAAATGCAAAGCATAATTCCATGAATCAGTATTTTAATATTAAAACATTTCGTTTCGGATGTGTGTGTAATCAGATGTGTGGAGATCTAAACTATATATATTTGTATATTTACATTTGAGTTAATTGTAAATTTTGAATCATTGTATGACTATTTTTTATATTTTACTTTGTATTTGTATCTGCTTAAATCATATTAAAAAGGCTTGCATTAAAGACTCTATCTTTGGGGGTGACGATTGTATCAACAATTGTAATTTATATCTATAACAATTTATAATTGTACAATTACATTTATCTTTTTGTTTGTTAAATTTTTATTAGTTTTTATTTCTATATCATTACTTGTAATTTTCTTAACGTTTTCTAAAAAAACGTTAAGAAAATTACTCTTTCTTACTCTAAATGACTAAGTTGCTTGTTGTCAAAAAAACACAGATCAACAAAATTTTTTTTTTGTCAAGCAAACAACACATTTTTTGTAGAGCATTTCTCATTTTGAATTCAAATATGCAATTTATTTAATCACCATTTTTAAAATTTCTATGAAAATATATCTTTTGAAACCCAGATTGACATACTTTTGAATTCATTTTTTTTAATATTGGGGATTTTACCCCAAATACTAAAAATTTGAATCCAAATATTTTTACAACTTGGCGTGATAGTGAAAAATGAATTGCATATTTGAAATCAAAATCAGAAATGTTCTACAAAAAATATATTGTTTGCTCGACAAAAAAAATAATTTTATTTTAGAGTTTAGAGAGCCAATTTTAAAAACTTTATCAAGATAGTTTATTGATAATTTAGATGTTTAATTGTTGTTTAATTTATCTCCAGATTATTAATAGTAGTATTATGTTTACGACGTAATGATGTATCTGGTGGAAATGGAAAAATCCGGTCAAATTTAAATTATGATTCCTCTAAAACCATTAAAGGTTTTAATTTTGAGCTTTTTTTAAACTAAGCGTTATTTTCCTAAAAGTTCAGTTTAATAAAAGTTTAAAGTAAAATGCTTTTACGGTTTTATAGAAATCCTAATTCAAAGTTTGCTAGATTTTTCCGTGTCGGCCCGATATGATACTCTACTTCGTACTGTATGTACGTACGTACAACATTCAACATACTAAGCATGCAATATATTAAACTTTTATAAATATTTTTTAGAATTCAACTTCTACGAAACAATTGTTCCACCTCCACCAAATTCAGGATCAAACTTTCAAGTCCAAGAAATGCCAATGGGTAACTTCCAACCACCCAATATAGCATCCGCATCCGTAGCGGCGCAACGACTTGGTCAAACCACTCTTGGTAATGGGCAATTCATCCCAGGAAGAGAAACTCCAGCATTCGAAGCACCACTTCAAACACCTTCATTACCTAACATTGAGTCATTATACGGACCACAAAGGGAAGTGCAAGGTGTTCCTGCTGATGTCTACAGCCAAAACGGTAATACATTATGGGGTTTAAATAATCATTTGCCGAAACTAAGAAACGAGAACAATCAACCCCTAAATAATTTTGTCAATTTCAATCAACAAACTCCATACGAAAACTATCTTTCCCCATCTCCGCAATCACAATTTCAGCCTTTTAATCAGTTTCCACCTTCTCCGCCTCGACCATACACTAAGGCTCAAAACCCTAGTAATGTACATTCAGCGCCTAGTTTATGGAACTTTTTTCAAAGTATGGCGTTTAATCAACCAGGATTACCTACAAACCCACAACAAATGATTCGAAACCAACCTCTTAAAAGTTTTAAACCTTTTTACGATAGGCCACAAACATTTCCTACCGCTTTTGCTAAAAACAAAGTATTTAGTGCAAAAAACACAAAAGATGGTGTACAAATAACAGAAGAAGCAAAACAAAAATTTGAAAACTTAAAACATCTTTTCTCAATTATGCCTTTGAATGCAAAACAAAAGTTTACTTCTGATCAACTTCATGCACAACAACAACAACAACAACAACAACAACATCAACAACAACAACAACAACAACAACAACAACAACAACAACAAGAAGAAGCTCTAAGAAATTTGCACAGAAGTGTAAAATTGGTAGATTTACCGCCTTATGGAAACTTTGTCGGTGAAAAACAAAGTGTTGAAGGGATGTCTTCTGATATTGAACCGTCCACCTTGAACCCGCTTGGTTATTTTAAACCGAGACCAATATTCGAACAACCAATACTTACCTCACCATCAAACGACAAGTTTTTACCTGGTGTGGTTCGATCAAAAAATCCTCTAGACGAGACTGAAGGTCCCGGATTTTTAGTAAATTACCCTAAACCATCTTTATATGGTCAGTTACATAAAAAAAAACCAATGGAAAGGTTTATTAAACGTCCTCTAGTCAATGGAATATTTACAGTTCAAAAAGAATTACCAGCACAACTAACTATTCCACATGATACCTGGTCGCCTAGCATTAAGAATAATCCAAGTGGTATAAATCAGCACAGGCATGCTTTACTTCACATTGAAAATAGCTATATTAAGAAAACAAATACACAACCTGGAAAAAATATAGACAAGCTATTAAGTCTTCCAAAGTCTGTTGGAGAGCAGCAAGCTATAAACTCAAGGTTTAATACAGATAAAATTCATCTTATTGTTGAAGAGCCTAGAACAGACCAAGCTTTAATAAGAGCAAAAGTGGCGAATCGTTACCAAGCATCTGTTTCAAAGGCTAGATTACCTTTTGGTAAAATAAAAGGAAAGTCATTTTTTCCAGTATATAAAAAACCTTTGAATACATTGCAAGCTCTATTGGTAAGTAATCCTCAGTTGTACAAAAGCTTTCTTAAATTTTCACCAAAACCTCGGGCAAAAGAACAATTTTCTAGTTTGCACGCTTCATTTCTTACTAGCAATCTCCCCCAACAAAACAGTTTAAATGAGCCGTTTAAGTTGAATGCATTTAGACCTTTCATAAAAAGTAAACTGGCTTCAAAAGGTACAAATACAAATTCTTATTCATTAAAATCAATGAGTCTAGCAAAGTCTCCTAACCCTAGCTTCATAGGTTCACGCAAACTTCCTTCTTCTATACTTCGGTTAAATCCTTTTCTAAACAATGCTTTGCTAAGAGATCGAGCATTGACAGCATTAAGAAACAAAGTAGACGTGTCAATTCCACAATCTTTAAATGGGAGACCAAAACCAGTTGTTTCCAAAAAATTAGGTTCAATGCAAAACGCTGCAAGAAATGCTCTATCACAAAAACACAGCTACGAGACTGCTTCTTTGTTAATGTCAAACTTGAATTCGGACGTTTTAAAACATAGCAAAATGCCTGCTTTTTTTCCATTAAAGAAAAACATTATGACTTTGAATAGCCCAGGTAATGTTTTAATTCCTAATGTGGGTAGCGATTCATACAAAAAGAGCCCTTTAAAAGTAGAAAAAGGTATAACAAGATACATAATTAAACCTCAACCTTCTCACATCGAAAAAAAACAAGATTTTGAAGGCATATGGGATAAGCTGTACGAATTTTACTCAAAGAAAAAAAGTTACCTCAAAAAGGCTGATGAAATAACAGCGCAACAAAAAGCTAATACGCGATCTTTCGCAAATAATAGCATAAAAAGAAATGAAAAATTGCCGGGAAAAGCTAATACAATATCAGGGGTACAATACCAAACAGATTTAAAAAAAAATGCGGTATTAAACCAAAAAGAGAATACTCTAAAATTAAATTCTATGCAAGTTCAACCAATCGACGAAAAAGAAGCACAAACATACAATAATATTAAACGAACTCAAAAGAGTGAAAACAAAAATTCTATAGACGATAAAGATATATTCTTAAAAGCCATTACTCGTGATCCCCGCCCTTGGGATAAACGAGCTAAAGTGACTTTTCAAATTTCTCGTAAGAGCTCTATTCCCGGTAAACCTAAAGTTGTAGGAGTTTGGGGGAGTCTTAAAAAAAGAAGAAAAAGGCTAACAAAACAAAAACGAAAAAAAAGGAGAGAAGTTAGAAGCGTAAGAGGGGTACAAATTAAAACAAAAAAAAGATCTATTATTAAATATGGCTAATATTTTTCATAATTAGCTTTTAAAATATTATAAATACTAACGACGGCTTACCGCCTTGCGTATTTTTACTATGAATATGTATTTGGACCATATAAGGTCAAATCTTGATAACAAGATTACAACTTCAGCGTTGTCTTAACTAGTTAAGTGTTGTTAAACAACCACCATATTTTGCATTCATTGATTTTACAGCCATATTATTATTTTTTTATATTTTACATCGAGCTAAAATTTAGTTCTAAAATATGTATATTTTTTTATTTCATGTAGAATATCTTTCCATAATCTTTAGAAAATCGTATATATATTTTTTTTATTCGCGACTTTTAAAGGTTTTTTGAGTTTTGCGTTTTGAAGATTCTTTTTAAGATTTTCATTCTTTTTAAGTTTTCAAAAAATAATGATGGAATCAAAATTCTCAAAACTGATATTTAAAAAAAAAATAATGGTATCAAGTTCTAAGCTACTCGGAAATTTTAACTTTTTTTTTCAAGCTTTTACATTTTTTTATTCCAATGAAATATGTACACACTCAAAATATGTGCTTTTTCACTCAAAGAATATGTACGCAATTTTTCTACAATAAAAAAATAAAAGAATTTACTTTTTATTTCTCAAAACCCTTTTCAAACAATAATGCATTTTAAATTTTACTTGTAGGTTACGAAACACAACAGCAATACACTGCTAACATACCAAACGCCGCTAACCAAATGTCATTCACGACACCAATAAAACCTAATTATATACCACCACAAACATACAGATATACACATAACATGAAAGCATCTCAATTACAACAACCGAAACCCATGTACTATTCATACCAAGGTGCGGCTAAAAACGAACAACACGTAAAAGACAATGCGGGACCGTCATTACATGGACCTTCATTAGCTAATTACTTAGCTACTTTACAATCACCACCAGCTAGTATACCACCAGCTGCACAACAGTACCAACAAAAATATCAAACACAATCACAGCAGTATAATAAACAACAACAGCAACAATATAAAAATCCACAGACTGGTGCCGGCAACCCGCATGGTTCCGGTCCTTCCGATCTACCTTATAACCATAAGACACTCTCCAATCCATTTGCTTTATTTGCACCTGAAGGTAAGCAGAGTTACTTTTTAAATCAAATACCAGATGGTGATTCTGATTTAGTAAACTTAATAGATAAAATACCAGGTCAATATTTCATTCTAACTGACACGACCACTAACACTAACAATGACGACAAACCATTATTAAACAGTGTGGATTCAGACAAGGCAATAAATACACAATTACAAGCATCAACGCCAATATCGCCACCTTCGCTTAACGATCAAAATCAGTTTAAATCAGAAGAACATCCGTTAACATATTTAGAAAATAAACTTCTAATGCCAGAGTCAGATCCAAGTAACGGAAACAAGATATTACCAACGTTGCAAGAGCAGCAGCAAAATCAAGTACAAGAACAAACTTCACTTGCAAACCAAGAGCCTTATACAGGACTACAGCAACAACAAACAGTAGAACAACAACAACAATTGTTACTTGAACAAATAAAGAAGTACCAAGAAGCTCGATTACAAAGTGGGGAAATGGCGCAAGGTGGTGGAATGGCGCAAGGTGGTGATGTAGAGCAGAGTAATATTGAACAATCTCAAGATCAAAGTCAGACTGAACAAAAACTTTCTCAACAAGAATATAAACAACAACCGTTGACAAACCTAGATAAGAGTTCAGATTTTTACGAACAACAACAACAAATACAACAACAAAATCAACAACAGCAACAACAACAGCAACAACAACAGCAACAGCAACAACAACAGCAACAACAACAACAGCAACAACAACAGCAACAACAACAGCAACAACAACAGCAACAACAATTTCAAAACCAATATTTAAACCAATTTGAAAATGTAGTTACTAATGTAGCTCAAGCGCAAGAAAAAATGTTTCAAGACACATCGGGTGTTATTCACTACTCTAAAAAAGAAGATATGCCTCAAGTGAACAATCTCAAAGTATCTTACGATAAAAGGTTGAACCAGTACCTTAACAGTGACAAAACAAAGGAGACAAATTATCCTAATCCAGCTCCGTTGGTTTATCACTTCGGAAACAGTACATGGCCTCACGAAAAAGTCAAGTTAAAACTGAGTTTTGAACCATCTGCAAATGGTAAGTTTTTAATTTTAAATAACAAATTATTTAATGAGACGTTGTTTAACAAAAAAAAAGGAAACTCTTGACCTTTATTTGTATTTCTAGTTTATATTATATACTTTATATTTAATACATACTTTTTAAATATGTTATAATTATTATTTATTTTCATTTGGTTAATAGTTATTTTTATTAAAATTATTATAAATATCTACAATTTTATACGGGCAATTTTATGAACAAAAACATAGAAAAAAATAAATTTTTTAAAAAATGTTTAAGGTAAATATGAAATGAAAGTAAATGGTCCATTTGACGTTTACGGCAAAAAAATACCAAAGGTGGCTAGAAATGAAGTAAAAATGAAGAATGTTGATTACGATCACCTTTCTGACGAAGACAAGTTAAGACTTTCACAACAAATAAATAGGGAAGAAATCATGGAAGATGCTCGCGAAAGTTACGACTCAAAATATTTACCCCCAACAAACAGAGGTTATAAAAGCCCTCCGTCGTTTTTAAAATCTGACGAAACTGACGGAATACGAAGACCATTAGTTAGAGTAAACATTCCGCGATACGCAAACAAATCGGTCGTTTTAACTAACATTTTACCTGGTTCAAAAAAAAGTCTTTCTATTAAGTTGCCCGTGAATGTTTCACTTGAAACAGTTTTGAAAAATATTTATAATCACATGTACGAGTACTATTTTCATAAAACACCGTCTGAGAGCAACACAAAGGAAGAAGCAACAGCTCGTAAAGTTATTCAAGAACTAATCAACAAAGATATGAAAAACATAAGTAACTATATATCAACACAAACCAAAGGATTAATTAACAACAAAGTAAGTTCAAAATCGTTTGAAACCTCTACTGTGCAAGGTGATCTTCCTGCGTACGTTCGACCAAATACAATTGTAGAACCCATTGAAGAGAATAATCTGAGGATTGAACCAATTCAAACAATATTTTCATATAATAATGCCTCAATAATTCAGCCAAATTCAGAGAATGCAGAAATTGAAAAAAAAATGGAGCAAGTCAAAGTAGAAGGTTCTGAAAGCACATCTGCAACTCAGTCTGATCAAAGCATCTTATCTTCCAATGATCACGACAATTATAGAGATTCCGAGCAAGGAATAACCCGAAGTAATTTTCCGCCCTATCAAGAAAATCAACGATATACTCTGAAGCTTCGCGGTTCTTTAGAATCAAATATAAAAACGCTTGAGTTCATACATAAAAATAACTTGATCAATAACGATAACAAGGATTTAGTCAATAGTTTGTTGAGTCTACCTTTATCGGCAATTGCTGAAGAACATTATAAAAAATCAACTGTTGGTCGACAAAACATGCCTTTTGCATTCAGTCCACAAACTTCTAGTATTAAACATCAAATTACTTCGCAACTGATTAACAATAGCACCGTAGATAAACTTCAAACTATAAACGGACTTGATAAAAATTCCGTAAAATTTGAAAAACCTTACAAAGCAATTCCTCTTTTAAAACCGCATAAACCGTTAAAAAGTTTGAAAGATTATATTATGCCAATTTCAAATGAAGCAAATTATTTCCTAATTGATACAACAGGTGTTTCCAAAAACAAACCTATGATTATAGAAACAGTTGCTGAGTATTTGAAGAAAAAAAATTCTCACCCGCAAAAAAGCCAAAACCAATATAACGTTAAAGATTCTCATGTATTTAATCGTATGATATCTAAAAAGCCATTAGAAACATACAAGTTCAACAGCAGAGCAAAACCTGCATTCAAAACAGAATACAACAATGACAAAGACCACTACTTCAAACCTGTACAAAACCTACAACAAGTATCTTTTTTAAATAAACAGCAAGATGTGCAAAGACCTTTATTCAATTCTCATGAAATCAAAGCCGATTCTCGGAGCTCAAACTTGTTTCTAAATTCCAAATCAAAATTTAAAATTCAAAATCCAAAAAGTTATGACAATATCATAAGTAAAAGTATTCAGCCTATGATTGGTTCGACTTCAGCATACGTAGGTAAGCAAAATGACGGGTCATACTCAATAAATTTACAAAAAGTTAAAACGGAATTTTCAGATACCAGTTATCGCTCGGGTGTTAACTCAGTAGAGCCAAATATGAACAAGGCTATAAGTTATAAAAATGAAGGTGATGATGTTATTATTGGAGAACCACGTATTATTGGAGAGTCTCCAGATATTAAGGAGCAACATAATATGGAAATATTAAATAAAGATGAGACGCAACGACCTTTTAAAAACGCAGATGAGTTTTTTGGTAGTTCTATTATTGAAAAAAACACACTTGAGGATAATCAACGACCTTTTAATTCAAAAACATCAAAAAGCAACCATTTATATAGTGATAGTGCGAGATATAAAGGTAGCGTTTATACCTTAGACGAGGAGTTAAAAGAAACAGAAAGAAAAAATGGAAAATCCAGCGATGCTTCTGAAAGCAATGACGAACAGTGGGATAAAAAAGTATTTGTACCAGGATCCAGTAATATGATAGTCTCTCGCAATTTACAAGGTTCCAGTAATGTAATAGATTCTAGTAATGCACTAGGTTTTAGTGATGTACAAGATTTCAGAGACTTAGCAGGTAATCTACCACGTGAGGATAATGTTATATCTAAAAAAAGTTCTATTCCTTCCAGTCCTCTATTTACAAATGATGAAATTTTAGATCAACGTAATCGCATTATGAGGCATAAGCTTGTCTTGATGAAGCGAGATAAAGTTTTAAACAAACGGATGAACAAAGAAGACGAGTATAGTATGAAAAACGTAACTAATACAAACAAAATGCCCGAAAACAACGCTCTCGATAATTTAAGCCAAGTTGGTGAAAAAGCACTAAACGATAATTACCAAGATAACAAAACCCTAAGTAAAGATTTTAATGCAACGCAAAGAATTTTGCAAAAAAGAGACATTATCCAAAAAAAAAAATCTCTTAGAGAAATTAAAACGACTAAAAAAAATACAATTAGACATACTTCTACAATAAAGAAAAAAAAGAAAAAAACGTTTATTGCACTTAATAACGAAACAATATTTAAAAAAGAAGATTCTGAATTTGCCAACTTTACATTTAACCCCAAAAAAAACGTAAGTCAAAATCTTTTTGACGACAGTGACATGGGACAATTGTTGCCAATGGAGAATGAAGACTACGGCTTATCAGCCTCACTAGAACCAGAAAAAAAAATCATTATTAAAACAAGTGACATAACAGAGAGAGTTAAATAAAAATAATATAAAGCGTATATTATCAAGACAACTCAATTTTTCAATTATAACTTTAAAACGAAACTTTATCTATGGAAGTGTTCTGTATTCAACACTAAGTTATTATCACATTTAGAAATGACATTTGATCAATGTAACAAGTGTGCACTTATCAAGAGGATATTAAGTTATAATCTTTATTAGACTCAACCCTTTATTAATACAGCCAGAAATGAAGACGAAAAAATGAAGGCAAATTCTCCTTAATGCAATATTCAATCTTATATTGAATACGCTAAATGAAACATATTTCATAATATCTGCACAATTTGAGTAAATCTATGAATTTTTTTATTAGTAACCGTGAGCATTCAACCATGAGCATTCAATTTGTAAGCATTAAACAATTAGTAAGCATTCGTAAAACTTTTGAAATGGTAAATAATAGAGTTAAGAAGCAAATAGTTTGCTCTAACTTTAAATGTTAATTTGTAAATTATGCGTATATTCTGTTTAATTATGCGTATATTTTGTTTGCGTCTGTCAAACTGTACTATATTTTTATTGAATTTCGATACTTTATTACCAATGTATATTTATCATAAGTTTATGTCATAACGTTTATTAGATATGTCATATAGTGTAATATTTAAATGTAAAAGATCACAAAAGTTTTTATAATCCACTATAGCATTTATAAAGTATTAAAAATTTGTAAAAAAAATGAAAGTAAAAAAGCAGATAAACCTAAAAACTTTTTTTTTTTATTTTTTTCTACTTTATAATCTATAAATTACGTAATTCTAACTCTGGTCTCAGCCAACACATGAGATTAATGTGATATTATTATGATATAAATGCTTTGATAGGAATTATTTCATTATGACCTCATACTGATATCCAGTGCCGGATCAAATCTAATTTAGCAAAAGTATCGGAAACCGGATGCCGGATCAAATCTAATTTAGCAAAAGTATCGGAAACCGGACACCGGATCAAATCTAATTTAGCAAAAGTATCGGAAACCGGATACCGGATCAAATCTAATTTAGCAAAAGTATCGGAAACCGGATACCGGATCAAATCTAATTTAGCAAAAGTATCGGAAACCGGATGCCGGATCAAATCTAATTTAGCAAAAGTATCGGAAACAAACCAAGATTAGTATTTGGTAATTCTCCTTTAGATAAAATTTCAATATATTTTTTATCTGGAGAATCATATTTATCTCCTCTAATGAATAATTTATAAAATTTACCAAACCTTTTTTTTTTTACAATATGAAGGGGATCTTCTCTGGTATCTTCTGACAAAGATGCAATATGAAGGGCTTCTTCTGACATTTAAATAAGAGCACTGCACTTTGCCCCAAAGTTTGTTTAAAATATTTTTTTGATCTTTTGTTTTTTTGACATAGCTATTGAAAATATCAATTTATTTTTTAACTTTTTAATTTCGATGATTCGTTCTGAGTACAAAACATCTTGTATGTTCACTAAAATTCTGCCTACGCACTGTCTATACTTTGCGAATCTTATCTGTATTGAATCGCTTTAAAATCTAGCAATCATGACAAAATTATCACAATTATTTAAAAGATCTTCAATTAAAGAGGCATTACAATTAAGTTAAAATGCTGTTATTATTATGTTAAATATTATTATGTTAATATTATGTTAAATTATGTTAAAATGCTGACTAGTTTGAGCTGACATAAGAAATTTCTTACAGTTTACAATTTTATTTTTTCCAAATATCCATCCGAAATGCCATTGCTTGTAAGAATTCAGGTATTTTATCATTCAAAATGGCAGCGTTTCTTAAATATTTATTTAAACAAAACTAGTTTAACTATTAGTATTAATCCAACATTTATTAAAGAGGTCAAAAAGCAAACAGTTACTTAACGCAGAGAAAGATTTCAAACCAGCTGTCGTGCTTTTATTAAACAAGTCTAAAAAGCTAACAGCCTCATACCGCAAAGAAAGGTAAGATTTCAAACCAGCTGTTGTGCTTTTATTAAACAAGTCAAGAGCAATCTTAATATTTTGTTTAGGTGTAGCACTTTATTTCTAAGTTTAAGAGCCTTACGTAAATCTGCATACAAAGTCAGATTTTTTTAATGGACATCATGAAATAGTTTCCAGTATTCTTCTCCATCTTTAATTATAATTTCATCTTTAAAGGAATGAGCTCAAATGGGGGAAACAAAAACCTTTTTCAATTCAGCAAGTTATTTCTCACCTTTTTAAATAAGGTGGTAGTACCCTTTAAGAGAAAAAAAATTTAAAATTTGATATTATATGGAAACATTTATGTTTTTCTAAAGTGTTAGATTAAATCATTTCAAAAAATAACAAAATTAATTTTTTTTACCCCTCTGCTCAATAATTATGCGCATAAATTAGCAAAATTTAGGCAAAAAAATTGACCTTTTTTTAACAAGAATATCTTGAGAACCATACATGTTCTACAAACCAAACTTAATAAGTAGTTTTATATATGTTCAAAAAATGTGCTGAATTAAAAATTATACAATAAACATTTAATAACTTTAAAATCATTAAATTCTATCAATAAAAAAAAAAGTACAAGTACAGTTTGCTAAAGCTCAAATTTTAATACTTTAATATAAAAAAAAGTTAATTTTCTTTGATTCAGCACATCACAAATACACTCAAGAATAATTGCTAAAAATTTGAAAGAATTCCAATGAGCGGTTAAAAAGTTATCTTTGTTAAAAAATAAAAAGATAAACAAAAAGTGAATCGCTAGAAAAACACAATTTAAAAAAATATTATTACTTCATTATGTTGGTCAATAAAGCCTATTTTAATAGCTCTTAGCTTTTTTCTCCTGTTTTTTGTGGCACCTGTACTTTTTATCTCACTCTGCTTAATCTACATTTAGAGAACTTTTTGTTGTAAAATATCCAGGCACAACATTACATTTTTCAAACACTGGTAGTAAACCCTGACCTCCATTATTGAAGCTAATTATTGCAGAGGCCAAAGCAATCTCAACAACTGTTTTTTCCGCATGTACTCTCTTTGGTGCGCGAGCCCAACCCATCCCATTTAGCGATTCATTGACATTTTGAGTTTGGCCATGTAAACATTTCTTGAGCAATTCATCACTGTCAAGATCTTTGTAAGAAAAAATTGGCTTAATGAGCTCAATTATAGCTTTTGGAATACACTTTGAATTGTAATTTTTCTGGTCTGAATGATACTTACACCATGAACTTGAACCTTTAGGGCAAAACTGGTGCTGTTGCTCTAAGTTGTCAGATTGTGCGCAGTGAAAAATTACTGCAGCAACATCCTTTTTCATCCCATATAGACTATCAATATTTTGGCGTATTGCTATTCCATAATAGTTTTGAAGAGTATTTATCCACTTATCAGTTAATCTTCCTTTCCCACTGATGTATTTTCCATCTGATAATGTATTACCTTTGTAACGATCTCACAACATTCGTAGTCTTGCACCAACTCTCTTCTGAACATGTCCTATGCACTCTGCTTTCTCAATAATTTCTCCTGGGTATGGATTTGCATCACAAACTTGCATATAAGACTTGGTATCTCTATCTCCAATGTAAGTTAAGTACTTCAGTTTAAGCTCCTTGACAGATCGATTGAATATTTGTACAGCGCCTACAGATTCCATACTTCCTGAGCTACCCTTATGATTGATCTTGCAGTTATGTGTGATCTTCCAGTTCTCGTAAGCCGGAGTACCTTTTCTTCTTGACCATATTTTCCAGGGGTAACAACTTTTTGTCTGGACAGCAGCATCAATACACTTTCCATAAGATATTGCTGTGACTATACCATTCATTGAGGAGTATCCTCTGCGCTGCCATGAACCATCTAAACTAACAGCAACATTGACAATTGAAGATTCATCATAATTTACACCAAGTTTTTCCCTATGTATGTCCTCTGAGGCTTTTTTCGTACTCTGTCTAGAGGTTTAAATGTAAGCAAGGTGAAATTTGTTATTAATATTATGGTAACCACGTTTAGTCATACCTGGAGGCATATTTATTAAACGACAAAAAGTATCAATTGCTGTGTATCCTTGCCCCATTTCTCGAAAAGCTAACACAATACGTAGGTTAAGTTCTTTCATTTTTTTACCTTTGATTACTTCATTTTTATTTTCTATTGATTTCGAAGTTAAAAAATTCATCGTCCATGTACAATCTTGACAAGAAATTAGGAAAGTGTGAGAAAGACCCTCTTTTTTATTAATGTCATGTATAATATTGATTGACGCATAACATTCTGGGCATCTTCCAACTGTTTTCAACAAACTTGAAAATAAATTTGAGTTTATAATTATAATACACTCTTTTTATATATAATCAAAGTTTTCTATATCTAAAAGAGACAAGTTTGTTTTTTTCCAGATGCCGATCCATTTACATACTTCGTGAATGTGGAGACAAAACAGTCTGTTGTAAAGCATTTGAATTATTTAGAGAATCTTTTTCTAATTTATGAAACTTTTTTTTCTTTGCTCTTGATTTAGCATATCTTTTTTTTGAACCCATTTATCAGACAACTAATCAAAATTATCCAACAATCAAAGAAAATTTTATAAAAGGATAATTATATATATATATATATATATATATATATATATATATATATATATATATATATATATATATATATATATATATATATATATATATATATATATATATATATATATATTACAGAAACAAATATAAGGTTTCAATTTATAGATATTAGATATAAAACTAACAAAAGTTCTTAAGGAACAATTTAGTCATAAGCACACAAAAAAGCATATAAATTGAACTTTTATTTTTCAAGATATAGCAAGAAATGTATCTCTAAGGACCGTTGCTAAGGCAATTAATTTTCCAGTACCAAATTATTAAGGATAATTCAGGCCTTTTGATTATTTTTTTTTTAATTTTTTTGAATTATTATAAGAGTAGACATGATCATTAAATAAAAATTAAAAAAAAAAATCAAAGCCATTTTTATATTCCGATAACAGTTTATTAAACGCTGAAACATTACTTAAATAAATGTATAAATACATCAGTTTACCCAAAGCTACTATGTTTTGCCAGAATAATGGATATGTTTGCAAAACGTTTGCTCAGCAGTTCAAATATATTATTGGTAAGTTTAAGTAAAAGAGTTTCAGTAGAGTGATGTTTTTAGCATCCATATTGATATTCTATATAAAGATTGTTGTCATGTGGGAAAAAACATGTCATGTGGGAATCAATTGAAAAAACATGTCATGTGGGAATCAATTGAAAAAACATGTCATGTGGGAATCAATTGAAAATACATGTCATGTGGGAATCAATGGAAAATACATGTCATGTGGGAATCAATTGAAAAAACATGTCATGTGGGAATCAATTGAAAATACATGTCATGTGGGAATCAATTGAAAATACCTGTCATGTGGGAATCAATTGAAAAAACATGTCATGTGGGAATCAATTGAAAAAACATGTCATGTGGGAATCAATTGAAAAAACATGTCATGTGGGAATCAATTGAAAAAACATGTCATGTGGGAATCAATTGAAAATACATGTCATGTGGGAATCAATTGAAAATACATGTCATGTGGGAATCAATTGAAAATACATGTCATGTGGGAATCAATTGAAAAAACATGTCATGTGGGAATCAATTGAAAATACATGTCATGTGGGAATCAATTGAAAATACCTGTCATGTGGGAATCAATTGAAAAAACATGTCATGTGGGAATCAATTGAAAAAACATGTCATGTGGGAATCAATTGAAAAAACATGTCATGTGGGAATCAATTGAAAAAACATGTCATGTGGGAATCAATTGAAAAAACATGTCATGTGGGAATCAATTGAAAAAACATGTCATGTGGGAATCAATTGAAAATACATGTCATGTGGGAATCAATTGAAAAAACATGTCATGTGGGAATCAATTGAAAATACATGTCATGTGGGAATCAATTGAAAATACATGTCATGTGGGAATCAATTGAAAATACATGTCATGTGGGAATCAATTGAAAATACATGTCATGTGGGAATCAATTGAAAAAACATGTCATGTGGGAATCAATTGAAAAAACATGTCATGTGGGAATCAATTGAAAAAACATGTCATGTGGGAATCAATTGAAAATACATGTCATGTGGGAATCAATTGAAAATACATGTCATGTGGGAATCAATTGAAAATACATGTCATGTGGGAATCAATTGAAAATACATGTCATGTGGGAATCAATTGAAAATACATGTCATGTGGGAATCAATTGAAAATACATGTCATGTGGGAATAAATTGAAAATACATGTCATGTGGGAATCAATTGAAAATACATGTCATGTGGGAATCAATTAAAAAAACATGTCATGTGGGAATCAATTGAAAATACATGTCATGTGGGAATCAATTGAAAAAACATGTCATGTGGGAATCAATTAAAAAAACATGTCATGTGGGAATCAATTGAAAAAACATGTCATGTGGGAATCAATTGAAAATACATGTCATGTGGGAATCAATTGAAAAAACATGTCATGTGGGAATCAATTGAAAAAACATGTCATGTGGGAATCAATTGAAAATACATGTCATGTGGGAATCAATTGAAAATACATGTCATGTGGGAATCAATTGAAAATACATGTCATGTGGGAATAAATTGAAAATACATGTCATGTGGGAATCAATTGAAAATACATGTCATGTGGGAATCAATTAAAAAAACATGTCATGTGGGAATCAATTGAAAATACATGTCATGTGGGAATCAATTGAAAAAACATGTCATGTGGGAATCAATTAAAAAAACATGTCATGTGGGAATCAATTAAAAAAACATGTCATGTGGGAATCAATTGAAAAAACATGTCATGTGGGAATCAATTGAAAAAACATGTCATGTGGGAATCAATTGAAAAAACATGTCACGTGGGAATCAATTGAAAAAACATGTCATGTTATTTTACTCCAGATGACATGGTTGTTTTGTAAATTTCTTCGTATGTCTTTGAATCAAAATTACTTAAAAACTGACCATTATAATCTGATGTTCTTTTCGTTGTTTAGGATATTTGAAGTTTAACCTGAGCTTTCTGATTTTTTCATTAAAATAGTTATTTATGTTGTTAGCTAGTTCTTCGTTTGAGTCGGTTGATAGTAATACATGTTCTTGAGTTTTATCTTCTTTTTTTTATTTAATAGGTTAAAGAAATAAGTCTTTTTTTTTATATAAAATGTTAATTCGAGTTTGACTTTGTTTTTATAACATTAAAAACTTTGTAATATTTTACGTATTTTCGTAAAGAAAACATTGATGGTTTATTTTTTTATCAGTTTGATAGCTTCTGTTTTAAATGATCATTGATATTGTTCAAATTGCTAAATTCTTGGATAAAATTGTTTTGTGGATGTAGCCTTTTAACAACTTCATTTTGATTATGTTCTCCGTGACTCCGTTTTATGGCCCATTTAAGGGTTTTAGTATGGCCCACTTAAGGGTTTAGTTGCCACTCAGCCGAAACTGAGCAGCACCAACTTAATGGTTTATCTCCATTTAACGTCCGGAGTGGACGGATCGCTATGAAGTTTCCAGACGTAGAAGGAGACACTGAAAAAGCGACTAAGCCAATAACCTCTATCGACTGTCACGGTTTCGATTTTGTGCTGTTTTTGCTTTCTAACAACACCGTAACCAATTGTGAGATGGTCCGGAGCCAAAATAAGAACAGATACTACACTTGATCTTAGCCATTAGGCCGAGAAGCGAGAAAGAGCCACTTTTATATGCTATGAAAAAGCCGGTTTTTTTTAATTAGCTTTTTTTAAAACTAAATAACTGTTTTGCGCTTTAACGACTTCATTGTTTTTCGTAATGCATCATTGATGATATTCTATTGAAATTAATTGTTAAATGGCCTTTCCTGAAGATGTAAAACGTTGGTGCGATTGAATTTTAAAAATATATTCAAAAACTAATAAAGTTTTTAATAAAACTTATATAGTTTTTTTTTAATAATTAAAAATAATTTTGTTTCAAACTTCCTTATATTCTGTCAAAACTTATTTTGTATTGTTATATTAACTCATATATCACAAGCATCGTTAATATATGTGAAATGCCTTATAATGTTTATGATTTATAGATAACATTTATCGTCAAGATGTAGTCAAAACAATCTGTTCTTTTGACCAGTGTATATTAATTTTTTTGTAAACATTTGAGTAGTGTATATTAATACTTTTGTTTTTCTTAATCTCATTTAATATTTTTTATTTTTAAAAAAAAAATACATGTCTTCACAAGTATTAACTACGAAAAGCGACGTTGACGTTATACGAGGATATTTTTTTAATAATAAAGTGAAACTATTATTAAAGCTGTTTTATCATTGATTATCATAGATTTATAAAACTTTACAATTTGATTTTATAACATGATTATGATTATATAACGTACAATCTGATTTTTAGAAGTCAACAAGTTAACAAATTATTACTCTTAAAAGACTTGTTAGTTTTAGAAAAAACGTTACGGCTCATTCATAGTCCAGAGGGGCTCTTTCATTGACAAGATGTTATGAAAGAGCCGATTTCTCTCTTTTTATAAAATAGGTGTATGACAGATTTTTAGCATTGTAATCCAATTTATTTTATTTTTATAGTATTACCCAATAAAGTAACTATTTAAATTAAAAAAAAAAAAAATTAATTAATCAAAACTGACTTTTTTTCATACTTTTTAAAACTGGCTCTTTCATGCACACTCTCCCCTACTAGAACAAGATCACCTGATTTATTATGATATGATTTTTTCAATTGAATATCATTGTTTATGACTATATTTTCAATTCTATTATGCTATTTTTGCTAATTTTTTCATCAGATATTTTTCCTATACCTAAGAGGGAATCTGGTTTTGAATTTTTCACTGTTTTTAATCTTTCCTTGTTAAACCAATGTTTTTCTAATATTTTAATTTTTAAGTTCTTTAAAAACAGAGAAACTATTTTATGTTTGATTTTGTAAATTGGCAAAAAAACTTCCAAACATACTTTTACGAGTTAAAGTACAATTATGACCACTACGACCATTACGACCACTATGACCATTACGTTTTACATGTAAAGGCGAGTTTCCACTCATCCATTTTTTCACGGGAACAGGAAAGGAACGGGAAAAATAATCACGTGGGCATGCGTAGTATAAGTTTTAATATGTCCAAAGGAAAACTACGCATGCTCACGTGATTATTTTTCCCTTCCCTATCCCATTCCGGTGAAAAAAAGGATGAGTGGAAACGCACCTTAAGCTATCATTAGCTCGTATAAACGATAATTTCTGGAAAGGAAATCTTATTAAACAATATTTTGTAATATTTTTTAGCATTTGGTAGCCATTTAGGCATGAAATACCAACAACACAACTTAAGATTTGTACTAAATTATTTTTTTAATATTCTCTTCTTTGAACATTTTGGTAAATACGTTTTGTTGGAGATTTTCTTTCTACCCATAATTGTCGGTAAAGAAGATTTCGTAATAACACTTAGGTGTTTAGTTAGTATTGGCTCTAACTTTTTTATAAAACAAAAACTTTTTGCCAGCTTTCCATGTATTTTTTCTATATATTTTAAGTAGGCCACCATTGTACACTATAAGCTTTATAGTATATATATTATAATAATTTATAAATGGTATCACTGAATAGCGCAAAATATTTCTTTCTTTTGATACATTTTTTATGTTTAACCGTGAAAACAAGTGCTACTTTTTCTTTTTAAACTGAATTTTTCTTAAAAATCACTTAGTTTTTCTAAACATTTTTTTTAATTTTATCGCGCAGTGAAAGGGTTAAACTCTATATATATGTAAAAAGGCTTAACTTTAAAGAAAAAAGACGTGTTAAGATTAGAAAATTTATTTATGCTTATAGATGCTTGATACTAACTTAACCCAGTTCATTAATTACCCCATAATACTTCACTTTTTTTTTATATAAGAAATCAATAAAGGGAAAATACATACGGATCGGTTACTCATACATAAAAACAAGTTTTTAAATAAAACCGGGTTGGCTTTTATTCGCTTCTACTTCTCTCATATTAAAACTTAACAATTTATATAAAAATTAAAAGTTGTAAAAAGATAAATAGCTTACATTATTACAAGTTTCGGTCACGATCAACATGACTGACACTCGTTCACCAAAAAAAAAAAAAGTCTAAATAAATGAATAAAGTTACATATATAAATATATAAGTTGCTTGTTGACACATTTGCAGATTAAACGTTTCAGAAAAGACTACGTTTCAGAAAAGGTGATGTTTTTCGAAATAGGTGGAGGTTGACAAAATATATTTTGTTTAGTTTCCCAGGAAACAGAAATATAACGCTTCCAACGGTCATTTGGTTCATCGTAATAAAACGCGTGATAGCATTCTTTGTCTACAGCGAACAAGTCAGGACCGTAAGCAATATTACTTTGCAAAATAATACTACTCGATTGTGTAAGAGATTTGTACGCGCAACGATCCAAATTCATAAAATACCTTACTCCTAAATAAAAAAATAAATATATCTTAGGTTTTTAGAACATTTACAAAACCTAATGTAAAAAACCTAATAAAATTTTGGTTCAAATCTTATAACTTTATTAGGCTTTATATTCTTAGTTAAACTTAACTTTTTTTACTTATTTATATATTTAGTTAAAGTTAATTTTTTTTTAACTTATTATATAAACTTAAAATAACTGCTGTTGGTAGGAAAAGTTGTTCATTTATAAAATTTATTACAAATTGAAATAATTATCTTGCAGTTAAACTCTTGTAATCAAAATTAATCAAAAGATTATTTAAGTTCTTCTGTTGCTTCAGTGCATAATATTTCGTATTGAACTCCTATAATTCAAAAGCTCTTATAATTGGAACATATTTAAGACCCCTTGAGGGTTCAAATTTATGAGCTTAACTGTATATATATGTGTGTGTGCGTGAGTGCGTGTGTAAAATAGGAATCGGAATTTTTTTTTCAAGTGATGGCCCTATGACTATTGGTGGAGTAATGACGTAAAAACTGACAAAAACATAAAAGTAAACTAAAAAAATCCAAAAAACTCTCGGCGCAAATCCATTATAAAGTTTCGTCAAAAGTTTGAAAATTTTCTTAAATAGTTCACATTGTTTGACTATTATACAAGGTGGGGTCTTACAAATGTCCCCTGACTTTAGAAAACCTTTATTAATAAACCTATATTCCAAACAAACTGCATCCCAACTAGCAAACATACGTTGACAAAACGTTAGAACAATGTTACGCAGATCAACGCAGAGAATAGAAGTACGAAGCATAATTGAGTGAAAGTTAGAAGAAGTTGAGTTAAAAAGATAGATTATATAGAGAAAGCGGACAGATATTGCACTGCTGCAAGAATGTACAACTGAAAAAACCTTTAGCTTATAAGTTTTTCAATAAGGCTTTTTTAAATGGTATATACCCTACATTAATATTTCATCCATGTACAATCAATCAAAATTGCTGATAATTTTTGTATATACTTAAAAAGTATATGATTAAATAGGCATTATTCATGTTTATTTTGCTTGTGGCTTGATGTTTCGTTATATAAGAAAGAATAAAATATATTAGCAAAATATATTTTTATAATCAACTGAAGTATTTGGATAAAAAATTATTCTTATAAATTTTACAAGTATATATTTGTAAATCTGCCTTTTCTCAATGCAAACACAGCATTGATCCACTGTATACAATCCAATTTTATTCCTATTTATATGGATCAACGTTGATCCAATGTATATAATTCAACGTTAATCCATACACACTGGATTAAGATTGGTTTATAAACATTGGATTAACGTTGATCCATATACATTGGGTCAAGATTGGGTTTAGATCGGGTAAACAATCAACTTTTGCAATGTTTTTACATACGTTAGACCAATCTAACTTTGCTAACTATTTTTAATCACGCCGATATTAAGGTTTTCATTAATATAAATAGGACACAACTAATATCGGATCATCGTTGTATTTGTATCAGAAAAACAGCTAACGTTTGCAATGTATTTACATACGTTGGCCCAACGTAAGTGTGCTAGCTGGGATTTTCTAACAACTGTACTTATCAGTTCTCAGAAACACATATAATTTTTTTTCAGAACATTCAAAATGGTAAAAAAAAATCAATTTAGAAAGCATGAGAAACGAGATGTTTATCTCTGTATAAGAAAATGTTCAACAACTAAAATTGTTAACTATTTAAAACATCACAGATGTGTCCGCAAGTTACGGTATACCGTATCGTAAAATGTTTTAAGGAAATCGGAGCTAAAATTCCATTAAAAAAAACTGGGAGAAAGAGTCGCTTGTACTAAAAATTCGTAAAAGTTATTGTAAAAAAATTAGACGAAATCCTGCTCGATCAGGAAGATCAATTGCAAAAGAATTTGGAACCGATCCCAAAGTCATCAGAAATTTGATTGAAACAGCTGTTCTGACAAACAGAAATAAGACAAACAGAAATAAGAGATGCAAAATAATGAAAATGAAACAATGTTGGTCCATCAATAATTTTTTCTGATAAAAAATTATTCATGTTTGAGCGCACCCTTAACAAACAAAATGACAGAGTTTATAGAGTAAGTTTGCAAGAGACCCCACGTTATGTAAGAACTATTCTTCGTAACCAAATTACATCAGGAGTTATGGCTTTTGGTGTATTCTGCAATAGAGGAAAACTTCTACTAAAATTTATTGATAAAGGAACTAAAATCAACCAACAGCTTCATTTAAATGACATTTTGAACTCTCATGTGAAACCTCATGCGGATAAAATATTTGGTGATCGTTTATACACCTTCCAGCAAGATTCAGCCCCTGCACGTAAAGCAAAACCATTCGAGTATAGTGTGAGCGAAATTTCCCTTGTTTCATACCAGTGTCAGTATGGTCCACCAGCAGTTCAGATTTGAACCCAACGGATTTCTTTGCATGGGGTTATACGTTGAAAAAACTATAATATGTAAAATGCAATAACTTAAATGTTTTCTTTCAATATTCTCCATGCTAGCTGTGATAACTTTTTAAAGAGAGTTCATACATGTATCAAAGAAAAAGGAGAAGGATTTGAAATCAATTAATTTTTTGCATTATATATTAATGCAACTTTCAGAAATATAGTTTTTTATTACAAAATATAGTTTTTTATAAATCAAAATAGTCCTCTAGTCTAACACAAAAAAACTATGATATATTTGTAAGTCCCTACCCTGTATATTCTATATATTTAAATATAAACTATATTTTAGATGCATACAATATTGAAATAATATGACACATGTTTTTCAGAGAACTCTGTGCAAAGGAAAGTAAACACTGTTATTCAGAAATAATGATTAAATAAACACTGTTATTCAGAAATAATGATTAAATAAACACTGTTATTCAGAAATAATGATTAAATAAACACTGTTATTCAGAAATAATGATTAAATAAACACTGTTATTCAGAAATAATGATTAAATAAACACTGTTATTCAGAAATAATGATTAAATAAACACTGTTATTCAGAAATAATGATTAAATAAACACTGTTATTCAGAAATAATGATTAAATAAACACTGTTATTCAGAAATAATGATTAAATAAACACTGTTATTCAGAAATAATGATTAAATAAACACTGTTATTCAGAAATAATGATTAAATAAACACTGTTATTCAGAAATAATGATTAAATAAACACTGTTATTCAGAAATAATGATTAAATAAACACTGTTATTCAGAAATAATGATTAAATAAACACTGTTATTCAGAAATAATGATTAAATAAACACTGTTATTCAGAAATAATGATTAAATAAACACTTTTATTCAGAAATAATGATTAAATAAACACTGCTATTCAGAAATAATGATTAAATAAACACTGCTATTCAGAAATAATGATTAAATAAACACTGTTATTCAGAAATAATGATTAAATAAACACTGTTATTCAGAAATAATGATTAAATAAACACTGTTATTCAGAAATAATGATTAAATAAACACTGTTATTCAGAAATAATGATTAAATAAACACTGTTATTCAGAAATAATGATTAAATAAACACTGTTATTCAGAAATAATGATTAAATAAACACTGTTATTCAGAAATAATGATTAAATAAACACTGTTATTCAGAAATAATGATTAAATAAACACTGTTATTCAGAAATAATGATTAAATAGTGATTAAATTAACACTAAATAAATAGTGATTAAATTAACACTAAGTACAAATAAGAAGACAAATATTATAAATAAGAAGACAAGCATTATAAATAAGAAGACATATAAATAGCTGCATCAAACTTATTTGACTCATCGCCCAAAAACGCTAAATTTAAAAATCTGGAAGACAAACTCTTTTATGAACTTCAGAAATCTTCCAATGGGTGCAAAGATCAATGCAGTATTGTGACAGAACCTATTACAACCCATCTGCAAGACCTGTCACCTGAAAGAAAAGAGCTTGAAATAAACTATTGTCAAATGTTTGATGATACAGATAAATTTAAATGTGAAAGTTCAGAATACAATAGTATGAATGATGAATATATTATAGAAATGAATATATTAGAGAAAGGCAACTGTCTCTATTTATAACATGTTACACAAAGTTATATTAGATTTTTATTTAATAAAATTTCCAGTGTAAAGGATACAAGCCTTATCAAGACAATGAATTTACCAGCAATTCGTTTTTTAAAAGCTACTTCGAATGCACATTAGAATTGAAGAGCTATCTAGTGCTCAAAATATGCGGTTTTGACCCAGAGAAAAAAATAATCAATATTAAAAGCGTACAATAAATTACACAATTACACAAATAAAGTGTGCAATAGGTCGTTTGGGAAAGTTGAAATATTTCTTCAAAGAAACATCACTAACTTAGAAATTTCTGACACTGAAGTAAACATCTGGGTATGTTTGAAATTGTAATAAAATAATTTAGTATTTAACCTTTATATACTTATTACACTGTTACTGAATTAATGATAGTCTTTACTAAATTATTGGCTAGAATAGAAAAAATTTTTTAAATTTGAATATATACTTAAAAATTCTATTTAGGATCGCTAAATTTTAAAATGCTCTATAAATATCTCAGCTACACACGCTTCACTGGTCAAATTCATTTCAAAACAAATCTATTAAACAAAGCTTGAAGGTCCAAGTATGAAAACAAAAAAATACCATTACATCCTAAAATTCTTGAAATAAAAAAAAAATAAAAAATCCAATTTAGTATGCAAATTAGTATAGCAAATAAAATGTTGTTTCTCTAATTTCTTTACAGAAAAATTCAAATTAAAAAATCAGTTTGAAACAAAAACTTTTTTTGACTGTTTTAGTTTATTAAAAAAATATTGCCAGAGATAAATAGAAAATATTGCCAGAGATAAATAGAAAATATTGCCAGAGATAAATAGAAAATATTGCCAGAGATAAATAAAAAATATTGCCAGAGATAAATATAGCCAGAAAAAGATCAAGAGCAATTCTAGCAGCAAAAAAAAGCAAGCAAATGTTACATCCTTGCAGACTCAATATGTACCTAAAAAATTAAAAATAGCGAGATGAATAATGAGCAATTTTAACCAGCATTCTCTAATGAAAATATTGATACACCTCTACAAGTTTAAGAAATAAAAACTAGTAAAAAAAACTAAAAGAATTAGCTGAATTATTTAGAAACACTTGCATAAATTGTAACAAACTTATGCAGGTGTTTAATTTTATGCATAATATAAATTCTGTGTAAACTGCATAAAATAACAAAATTTTTGGGTTGGAAAACTTAATACTTTCTCTGTTGTAAAGAAGAAATATGAAAACAACTTTGATTCATACAACTCAGATTCATTAATTCATACAACTCAGATTTATTAATTCAAATAAACGACAGGTATCCTTGGTTCAATGAATATAGAACATTGTCAAAATATAGGAGACAGAAAGACATGGTTGAAGTAACAAACATTTACTCCGCAACAACACATGAATCAAACTTATAAACAATTTTATCATAAGAACAAAGTAAAGTCTCTTTCTGTCAGAATTTCAATTTTATTAGTATTTCAAATAATATTACAATAAGAAATATACATATTTTCTGACATACTAGTTACTTCAGGTTATAGTTTAACTAATTCCTCACTTCCTTAATCTTTTTTTTTTTTTTTTAAACATTTTCGCTCCCAACAAGGCTGCAAGCAACCACTAATTAGTGTTGGAAGTTACTGGAAAAGAAAAGATGAAGATTGTAGAGCAAGATAACGATTGACAGACGACTTAAAAGATTGCAAATTATATGAATCAGGAAAGCAAATTGCAAAGCACTGATATTCGAGGAAAAAAACTAGACGAATAAGAGTTTTTGGAACAGTAACAGAAAAAGGATGAGACTTAAATGAATGACGAGTAACACAAGAGTGAATTTTAGTAGATGGCACAAGAGGCGCTAGCTCTTTAGAGCAGTGCCCATTATAGTATTTGTAGAAAAGAGAAAGAGAAGCAACATTACAACGATGTGACAGAGGTTGAAGGTTGGCTGCAAGAGCAGGCCCAACTATGTTTACAATGCGTTTTTGCACCTTGTCTAAAAGAGAAAGGGCATCATTAGAAGATTTGACCCAGATATGGCAAAAGTATTCCATGCAAGACCGGATTTGAGATTTATAGAGATAGAGAAATGAATCCAGAGTAAGATAGTGTTGAGCTCAATAAAGAGAAGCAACTTTAGCAGATGCTAATTTTGCAACGGATTTAATATATGGTTTCCAAGAAAGATCAAAAGTAAGAGTAAATCCTAGAAGATGAAGGGTAGGAGACTCATCAAGTACATTACCGTTCATAAAAATAGGAAGGTCTAAATTATTGCAATAATGATTGGCTGAAAAAAATTGAGTTTTATCTGAATTAAAGTTCACCAGCCACTGTGAGCCCCATGATGTAGCAGAAGTGAGATCCTTTTCAAGCTCAGATGCCCCCTGCAAGCAATCAGAAGGAGTTGGCTTCTTATTGTGACAAGAATAAATGGTAGTATCATCAGCGAACAATGCCACCTTAGATGTGAGAATATCTGGAAGATTGTTAATGTAAATTAAAAAGAGTATAGGGCTAAGGAATCTATCATTAGACACAAAAAAAAACAACTACAGCTAAATGAATCAGTATTAGATAATGCTATTGGTAATTAAATTAGATATTGGTATTTATCGGTATCAAAATCTCATTGGTATTACAAATACAGCTAAATACTGTGAATATAAGATATGTAAAAAATCTACAAGCTGAGAAAAATTCCCAATGATTGTGCATTTGAGATGAGTATGAGCTGAGATGCAAAGGATCTGTGTTTGAACACAACTAATACTGAAAAACATTCTAGCACAAACATTAAGTTCTTTCAAACACAAAATTAAATTAATCTAAGTTTATGATATTTAGTTATCAAAGTTTATAATAGTTTTGATGGAATTAAGTAAGAAAAATGCCCTTCTTGCACCTGTTTTGATCAAAAGTATTAACTTCCAATTGTTAAGAATGTTTGAAAAAATATAAATAATTTTTTTTGTTATTGTGATGATTGTGCTCTAATTTATTAAATTGTAGGCATAAAAAATTTGAGTTCTTGAAAAGCTATCTTTCAAGAATCATCTAAGGAAAAAGTTAGGCTAGAGATCTTTCTAAGGGTTAAAAAATTTAAAGAGTAACATTTTAACCTAATAAGCTTTTGTTCAAAAGATATCGAACAACAGTGTATTAAGATAACAAATAATTGATTTAGAGAAAAGAGACAAAAAATTGTTTTATGTCTGCTTTCTCTAAACCAGCCATTATTCCCAACATTTTATTAATAATCGTTATTTAAAATAAAAATGGAAGTTCTAATTGTATTACGTAAACCCTACCAAGGTCACAGTGTCACTGCAGCTAAAAAAAGTTTAATTTTATATAGACATTATAGATAGTATTGAAGATAATGCATTAATAAAATTAACCTGTCATGTTTAATCGTTTATACCCTGTGTGGGCTGTCTTTTGCATAAGGACTGAGAACTCAAACTGAATACCTCTAACATTAGGATACTATAAAAAATATAAGATATAAATAAAAATAGATCTGAATACTATCAAAAAAATAAAAATGCAAAGATAAACAATAAAAAACTATGTTAAAATTTTTAATATCATTAAAAAACTCTTTTAAAATAAAATCTATTAAGCAATATAATGTTAAATTAAAATAATTAATTTTTATTATTTTAAATTAATTAGCACTATAATATTAAATATAACAATATTGAATAGACACATGCAGCAATATTGAATAGACACATGCAACTCTCATGAAATTTAAAGATCACTGATCAAATAAAAAAAAACTTTAAAAAGATTAATTTGTTGTAAAACAAAGAAATTTTTAAAATTATAAAAAACTCACAACTGTAATATCACGAGTTGGAATAAACTGAAAAAATGCAGATCCACTCATTCTTCCTTGTTTACAAAGAAAGTACCGAAAACTTGTTCCAGGTACAAAGATTTGGTAAAGGAAAACACCACTTAAAATAGCCAAAGCGATCCAAGCAAAAAAACATATTCTGGTATCTATTAAAGCAAAATGTATACATGCAAATATACTTTACTAATATTTTTATATTATTATATGTAAGACAAAAGCCAAAATCTTGAAATTTTCTTCTATTAAGGAAAGAGAACTACTTCTGAAATTAAGGAGAGGGAAATACTTTTACTTGACATTAAGGAGAGGGAACTACTTTTTTAGCCACATTTCCTAGATCTCACTTTTGTTAAATATCATAATTGATGTTTTGTTAAATATCATTATTTATATTATTTATTTTATATAATTATATTCATCATTATTTTTATTATTATAATATTGTTATTATTTGTAGTATTTTCTATTATTGTTATTATAATTATTTTTATTAATATTACACTATTATTATAAATATTATTACTGTTATGTTATTAATAACAAAAAATTAACAACAACAATTATAAAAAACAAATACTTTTTTGGTGTTGTTACATTTTAACATAACAAATCCAGATTTTGAATTCAACTTATATTGCCTAAAAACTTCTATATCACAATTTAAAAATCTACACATTTGTTTCTACATTGAGAAATCTGTTGATAGAATCATGATATTGTCAAAATATATAAAATAGCTTGGGGTTCTCAACATTTTTATTGAGAAATATCCCAGGCTAATTTATACCTTTAAATGAAAAAAGGGAGGGGGAAGGGGCAGTAAAAATTCATACATTTAGTTTTATTGATATTTAGAGAAATACAGTTACTCTAATTTTATTTAAATTTGACAATAAGGAAGAGTAATGGATTTTTTTCAAAAAAGTTTTTAACCCATCATTAACTTGATACATGAGCCTTCTATAAGCTTCTTCATTACAGAGCAAATACCACAATCATCAATATAATTATTTTGTTTTTGTCAAACTTATTTTTATAAACTTTTAACATAGGGACGACAACCTGTATGGTGTGCCAAAAATTTTAATTGCATAACTATATTAAATTAAATATTTGTGATGGTTGTCTTTAACAAACATTTTATTTTGCTATTTTGATATGTACTCTGTATAAACATTGTAAAACAAATTTGAGATTAAATTAAATTCTTTTATTTTTACTTGTTAGATAGTATTTAATTCTTTTATTTTTATTTGTTAGATTTTATTTAATTTTTTTATTTTTATTTGTTCAGCCACAATGGCTGAAAAAAAATAACTATGGAAGATATCACTAATAAAACAAATGTTATAAAATAACAATAGTTTTTACTTAACTTGAGTAATAATACAGAATTAAAAAAAATAATTTTATTTTTTTATTTAAAAAAATAATTTTATCTAACATTGTTGAAATAAACAATATGAAAAATTATATTTTCTACTTAGTTAATAGTATTAAAAGTAATTAATTATAAACATAGTTCAATAATGTATTGCAATGTTTAATAAGGTGCATTGTTTAATAATGTATAGCATAATTAAATAATGTATAGCATAGTTTAATAAAGTGTAGCAATGTTTAGTAAGGTGTAGCATAGTTTAATAATATGGAGCATTGTTCAAAAATGCATAAGAACATTTTTTGATCAAAAACTAGAGATACTAGAGATAATGAAAGAAAACAGAAAACAAGAAAACATAACACAATAACAACAGAAAACAAGCAAACATAACACAATAACAACAGAAAGGTTATTGACAAATGAATAATTTTTTTGGAAAAAAAAATCAAACTAATCTTGATTTCTTTTCAATTAATGTTCTCTATTAAAATTATGAACTTGAATGTTTACACTTTCAAAATATTTTTATAATCAAAATAAAAATAAGAAACATAGTTTTATGCAAGTAAACATTTCAATACATATCAGGTATAATTTTGAACCTACATTTTTTTGATCGCTTTTGTTTTATACAAATGTCATTGAATTTAGATTCCAATCTTTCTTCCAAAGTGCGAAGTCGTACATCTTGTAAACACCGACTTGCTGATTCTAAGACTGATACCCCAGCTTTAACCATACCTTCCTAGATAAAAAATAGAACACTTATTTAATGCACACATATTATATTGAATATATATTGTAATATAAACTGTGCGTGTATGTGTATATATATACACACACACACACACACACACACACACACACATATATATGTATATATATATATATATATATATATATATATATATATATATATATATATATATATATATATATATATATATATATATATATATATATATATATATGTATATATATATATCTATATATATATATATATATATATATATATACATATATATATATATATATATATATATATATATATATATATATATATGTATATATATATATATATATATATATATATATATATATATATATATATATATATATATATATATATCGCTATTTATTGCATCAAGATATGTTTAGTGGATTCAGGGTCATTAAAGCAAAATAAAGTAAGAGCAAAAAAATTAATAGTTTCTATCAAAACATGAATTTATTATATTTGAATATATTTGAACATTTAATAACCTAAAAATGTTAAAGTAATAATTTAAACTTAAAAAAAAGTTAATTTAATGTAATTATTTTATAATAAAGATACCAGGTAATATAATTAGAAGAAAACGAATTAAGAAAAAATTCCCTTCAACATCTTTTTGCTTTAATGACCTGTTAATGTTATAGCAAGAGATAAAAATTCTCTTTTTTATTTTTAATCTTTTAAATATAAAAAAAATTTAATCTTTTAATTTAGAGTTTGTTTAAGAGTGACCAATATAATATAAATGGGGCTAATCACCAAATGTATAATGGGTCATTTTATCAACAACAGAACTTTTTCAGAGATGATTAGTGCAAAATTTTATTTTTCAATCATATCTTTAAAACTTTATTTACCCTCCTACCTCCCTATGCATTTAAAGTTATTTTTATTGTATTATACTAATACCTAATAGTTTTAAATCACCAAAACAAATATTTTTATTCTACAAAAAAGTTTTGGTTCTAAATATACAACTTTTATTAAACAAATCATTATGTAGAAGCAATAAAAATATCTAAAAACAGCTTTTTTTACATGTACAAATTATGTATGATGTTACAGTTATACAATCCAATAAATTCTTTATACAATGGGTTTACTCTGATAAATAATTTTTGGAGAAATATTTTTTACAGAATATTTTTTGGAAGAAATTTTGTCGCTTAAATATTATTTCTTTAACATATACTTAAAATCACCATATAAATTTTGATGTTGATTTCTGTTTCAAAAATTCATTATCATTCTTCATTGTCATCATGTGTAATGATGACAATGTGAATCATGTGAATCTTTAGTTGTGATCACTGCAGATCCAAGTAATTGATTGTCACTATTTTTGCAGGTGAGCCAGTTTTTAACATAAATTACAAAAGTAAACTAAACAGAACACATCTCTCAAGTTTGGCAGAAAGTCTGTTGAGTAATTGTTGTTTGAACAAAAACATTTTCACACTGCACAGAAAATTCTTTGTAGAAAGCTCCAGGTTTAAAAATAAATCCATCTCGTCTGGCTTTCTTCCAAGTAAAATTGCTATTATTTTGCACAGCTAAAGGTAAAGGTACAGCAAAAAAAAAAAGCTAAATAAAAAGTAAGGTAATTTATCTTTTCCAAACAACATCTCTAATACTTCTTTGATCACTATGTTATGGCCTGCAAATTAAACTCTTTTTTTTAATTAAGGTGCTTTTCAATGGCAACTGCAATGCCTTGAATGCATCTAGTGTTGATCTTAATAAGTAGCAGCAGTTGTTTTTCAACATTCCACTGTTGCAAACTCAAATTCATTCATTTGCTCCAGATTACAAGCTAAATACTGTGGTAAGTCAAATCTCCTTGATGTGTAATACTTCTTTTATCAATTTTTTGCGCGTGAGTGAAAAGTTGATACTAAAAGATATATATTCATCTCTTGAAGAATCATTTCTCAAAGAATCTTGTTCTTTGAGATTCCTGGTTTTGCCAAGCCAGATCCAAGCAAAGGTGTTGCTTTAATGCTGGAAATTTTAGCACAATCAGCTGCTGCCTCTATTTCATGATCATAAAAAAAGGTTTTTTAGAAGAGTTAAAAAAAACCATTTTAGATCTCCTTGTTTAGAACAATGTGGAAGTTCAAAGAAAGTCTTGTGAACCATTTCCTGTCTCAGAATTTTCCTAATCATTTATTTTGAGTTTCTTGATAATGCTTAAAGATAAAGATTTTGGCACTCTTACTTGATCTTTCTGAATTTAAAGTTATTCATTTCTGATTACTTTACTCTAAGTGAAAAAATCAGCTTATTATCTTCTAGAATATTCTAAAATCTTTCATAACACTCCAAAATACTTTTGTCTTTATGTAAACTAAATGTTTTTTTTTCTTTTAATTACTTTAGAAGACTAGAAAACTGACATGCTTTAACTATTTCAGTCAATGTATGTAAATATTAAAAAGATAAACAAAAATAAAAACATTCAGAATGCTTTAATTTTTACAAAAAAAATCAAAACATTTCAGTTTATTAAGTTGCATTTTTGTGGTTTTTTAAAAAACAATAAAATTTAATAAGTTTTTTCAAAATTAATTATATTATGTATATAACAATTATTAAATACAGTATATTGGTAACATCAAAACAAATATTTAAATTTTTTAAAAACACAGAAGGCTTTTCATTTAATATCTTCAGCTGTGCATAAAATTTTTAACAAATATATATCAAAATTTTTTATATTGAACTTCCTATAAAAGTTTAAAATAAAAGTAATTAAGATTTATAACAAAAAAAAAAAAACTAATAATAAAAAACATGTGGCAGAACTTTTTTCTTATGGAAAACAAGTAAAAATAATATGAAAATAATTATCTATTTTATGTTCATTGTGTTATCTCCCTGTTTTTAAGGTGAGCATCATATATAAGAAGTAAATTCTCGTTAGAAGATTTTAACATTAGAAATAACTTGAAAAAAAGTTTTTTTTATGGCATTTATAAACATGCTGATCAATCTAAACTGAACCAGTGCCTTTTCTGTATGTATAGATACATGAATTAGTTTTAAATCTTAGACTGTTGGTTTTTCCAATGCTTTTCCATCACATCCATTACATGATAGAATTTATATAATGTTTTTAGAATTAATGACATTGAAATTTAAAAATTTCACATTTTACCTGAGGAAAATGGTTGACAAAATGAAGATGCATTTTACATAACTTAAAATGTTTTGATATGTATATTAAAACTTGCACTAATTGTTCTCAAAATACTTTTAGGTTGGCCTTGTAATAAGATGATAAAGGTGTTTTCAAAAACTTTTAATTTACTGTCTTAAACAGAAAACTTCATAACCTGGTGTAAACTGTTTATTAAACTTTCAAAAATGTGTGTGTGTGTGTGTGTGTTTGTGCACACACACACACACACACACATATATATATATATATATATATATATATATATATATATATATATATATATATATATATATATATATATATATATATATATATATATATATATATATATATATATATATATATACATATATATATATATATATATATATATATATATATATATATATATATATATATATATATATATATATATATATATATATAATATATATATATATATATATATATATATATATATATATATATATATATATATATATATATATATATATATACATTTCATATATATGAAAGTGTCTTAATTTTGTTTATTTTTAGATATCAAGTTAGCATAAGAGCTGAAACAGCAATGTTGTCTTCACTATTCCAAGCTGGGGAAGTAGATATTGACATGTTAAACAAGTCACAGATGGCAAGAAAAAATCGTGAACTTATAGAGAACAAAGCACTTATTGTAGTAGAGCAGCACCTGGATAAAATAAGGGATTTAAAACTTGTTCTTCACTTTGACACAAAGTTGGTTAAACAATATAGGATGGAGGTCAAGATTTCAGAAACAGTAGAAAGGTTGGCAATTAGTGTTTCGTCTCCAGAGTCAGGTTCACTTGGCTTTCTTCTGGGAGTACTTGAAATACCCTCCTCCAAAGGGAAAGATCAAGCATTGGCTATCCAAAGCCTTGTTGAATATTATGACTTAACAGACCAGATCATAGCTTGTTGTACTGACACAACTCGCTCGAACACTGAAAATCGTAATGGTGCAATTAGAAACATTGCTGTATATTTTCTGTACCTTGTCCAAATCTTTGGCAAATATCCAGGTATGATGTTTTACTTTACAAAATCCAGGTATTTTTTTTCTTTTTCTTTTTTCTGAGAGTAATGACAGAAAATGAGAATTTTAAATTTAGGCACCATAACATGATGAACGACATGTTCATCATGTTATGGTGGAACTACAGGGAGAAACATGAGGACCCAGTTGATCCTTATACAAGAAACATCAAGTTCTTTGGCCTAAGATTGAAAAAGGTGTGAATACATTGGCCAACATTGAGAAATTTGATTGGAACAGACCTGAGTTTGCTTTTAGAACCCTCTTTTACAATCTTGCAAATGAAACCATGAAGTTCTGCACAACATCTCTTAAAACAAATATTTCTGACAGAGGTGATTATAAGTATTTATGTCAACTGGTAGCTTTTTACCTCGGAGCAGATTTATTGAACTTCAGGTTTCTACAACCTGGTGCATACCATGAAGCAAGATTTATGGCTGATTCATTATATCTGTTAGCAATGCAAATGACCAAGAATTACAACATGCAACTCAGTTTCAATGAGATTAAAATGATACAAAATGCAATAGATTATATAGTGATCTTTCACTGTTTATTCTTCCTGAAGAGCCCAATGGCAGCTCAGGCTCCATCCAATGACCTTAGAGCATTCAAGATTTCATCACAGATTATGATAGATCCACTTTACTCCAAAAAGTACGAAAAGATTGGCAAAGCTCTTAATCTTAGTATTCTCAGACACACTTGGTATTTTACACCACAGTGTGTTATCTTTGCTTTAGCTGACCAGCGCTTAGAAGAGAAAGAGAGGATGGATATTCTTGTGGAATTGTTAAAATATGATGTTCCAGAGGTGAATATCTTCGACAAAGAACAACCAGAATCTTTTACACAAGTTTTCCCCCTCTCAAAACTATCAGACTTTGTTTCTCAGGAGTCTTACCTCTTTTTTCTCCATCTTGGTATAACCAAAGATAACATTCTTGCATGGAAAGAAAAAGGCATGTCAAATTTGGAGAGAAATCTCAACAATAGATTATTTTTAGACATTTGTGTCTAGTGTATGTCAGTTAGCAGTTGTTAATGACAGGGCTGAAAGACACATCAAATTGGTGCAGGATTTCATTGGCAGGACACATTCCGAAGACAGGCTCCAAGATACAATGATGGTGGTTTTAGACAACTGGCGGAAGGTGTCTAAACATGCTACTAAACAAGACTTACAGAATGTTTAAATAAAAAAAGCCCTTTATGGCTGTATTTATGTTTTTGAAATATACTTTTTTTAACAAAAGTTTAATAATTTTTGCACCAATTTTTTTTTTGTATTCCATAGTATTTTATTTTAAAAAACATTTTAAAACAATGCAATTTTAATAAAGAATATATTAGTTATACATTTTTTTCAAAGTTGCAGTAACTATAGCAGTCAGAATTAATGCAATGGATGAATAATATAAAGTTAACTTGATTGTTTTATAAAAATATTGAATACTACCAAAGTTTTAATAAAAAAATGCAAAAAAATCTCATTAAAATTTATATGCAGTTTTTTTCTAAAACATCTTCTTCAGCTAAACAGTGACTTTGAGTCCAGATATTTTTATGGTGGTCTACTGGGACCAAATAAGAAGGATTTACATAGTACACTATGTTGAATTCAAAAAATTTTTTTTTCTGGGACACCCTAATATCTATATCTATATCTATATGTCTTCAAAATTGGGATCCAGTGCGGAAAGCAAGGGCTTTTGAGTCCTATAAAGTTTCTAAGAAGGATTAGGGGATTAGGCTTTAAAGACCCATGGCAACAAAGAGGAAAGGGGTGGGTCAAACATTCGGCAACGTACTTCATGGATGACCCCTAACTTAATATACTTTCAGGTTTGTTTCAGGTTTACTCATGTAGACATGAAAAGAAATTTTTACTTTTGCATTTCTAACGAGTTAGACCAGTATCTCATATGATATGAAAACATATACATGAGCTGTAACACAAAAATATAACGGTTATTTTTGTAACGCAAAAATTATGGCGGTTTTTTTGTGTTTAAATAATATGATGAAAAATTTACAAAACTTCATAGTTCAACATTCAAACAATAGTTCTTTACAAAGTCATATTTTTTTCATTTAAACAATTTTAATTCTAAAATATTGATCACTTTTGAAGCAACAAAAGCTGCATTATTTCTAACAGAATACAATATAACTATATCAGATTTTTTTTTTTTTTTTTAAACATCTTCGCTTCCAACAAGGCTGCTAGCAACCACTAATTAGTGTTGAAAGTTACTGGAAGAGAAAAGATAAAGATTGTAGAGCAAGATAACGATTGACAGACAACTTAAAAGATTGCAAATTATATGAATCAGGAAAGCAAGATGAAGAAAGCGAATTCCAAAGAACTGACATTCAAGGAAAAAAACTAGACGAATAAGTTTTTGGAGCACTTAGGAACAGTAACAGAAAAAGGATGAGGCTTAATTGAATGACGAGTAACACGAGAATGAATTTTAGTAGATGACACAAGAGATGCTAGCTCTTCAGAGCAGTGCCCATTATAGTATTTGTAGAAAAGAGAAAGAGAAGCAACATTACGACGATGTGACAGAGGTTAAAGGTTGGCTATTAGAGCAGGTCCAACTATGTTTACAATGTGTTTTTGCACCTTGTCTAAAAGAGAAAGGGCATCATTAGAAGATCCACCCCAGATATGGCAACAGTATTCCATACAAGGCCGGATTTGAGATTTATAGAGATAGAGAATAGAATCCAGAGTAAGAAAGTGACAAGCTCGATAAAGATAAGCGACTTTAGCAGATGCTAATTTTGCAACAGATTTGATATAAGGTTTCCAAGAAAGATCAGAAGTAAGATATATAAATATATATGCAATACTTTCAAAAAAAATAGATGCAGTAAAATATTTAGTTCTTTTTTTTTTCAAACATAAAAATGTAACCATACTTGCTCAAGACCTAATTTTTTTAGCACAACAGGAAAACAATTTCTTTTTAACTATCATTTTTTATACTAAAAACATACAGAAAAACATAAATACAAATTAAAACATTATAATTGACTTCAGTTCTACTTTCTTCTCGACCCAACTGTTATTTATAACTATTTTTTATCTCAGTTTTTAAAAAGTTGCATAAAATGATGACAAGTTGATGATTTTTCACTTTTATTCTACTTTTATTAATTTATTTTTATTTTACTTTTTTTTTATTAATTATTGCTTCAAGCAACAAAATCTTAACTTTTTTAGAAAGCACTCTATAAAACAGCTTAAAAATAAAACCGAAAAAAGAAAAAGTTCAAAAACATACTACTTTCTCATCTGCAACATTTTGTGATGAAAATGCATATCCAATATGAGCACAACTTTGAAGCAAACTGGTATTTAGATGATAACTACTTACAGCAAATCCAGGAAAATCTGGAGAAGCATACAGTGCATCATTGATGCAAACAGAACCTTTTACTTGGACTGGAACAATACCCATCATACATATAGTTTCACTGCGTCCTAATAAAACATATTAAATTTATAAATAAACAAGTTCAAATTATTTTTATTTTAAAAATAGGTGTTTAGGATTGCATCAAAAATTTGTATTTTTTTCATTTAAATTAAAATAATTTAAATGAAAAAAATACAACTTTATGATGGAACTAAAAGTTTTATGCCATTCGGCAATCTTCAGCCATATTATTCAAATAAAAAATAAAAACCGTTATAAAAAATACAAATTGAGCATTGCAACGGCATCTGACGTCAATTATACGTGATCCAATATTTGCTAATCGCCGGAATCAAAGTTAGATAGTAAAAATTTTTTCCTATGCCTACAAGCAGAAACCAATTCACTTTTTTTGTTAAGTAGTAGTCGACTATCAAAAGTCATAATAAAATACTTTTCATTGAAGCAAAGGTTTTTTGTAGATGGGTTAAAAGATTGGCATCTTTTAATTATGTTCTACTTAATTATAGGCATATTACCCGCGTCTTTAAGTTTCCAGATTTCCTTGGAAAGTTCCATATCATTCCTATACCTGGTTGCATTAAATGATTTAAGATGGTTTGCAAATCTGAGCTTGAATGTGTTTTCACTTTTTTCCGATGTAGGATTTTTCAGTAAGACTGGTATTAGGTGATTTTAAAGTGGCTTTATATACAAAATTTTTTGATAGACATTGATTATTTAACGGGCATGTGGTTTTATTAATGCAGACGCAGTTTATATCATTATCGGTAAGTTTGTTGCGCAAAATTTGTTGGTTGTGTGAACTAATTATTGATCGAATATTTGGCATGCAGCTGTAACTAATTTTTATTGTGCTTCTGTTGAATATTTTGTGTAGCTTATGATGTAATGGAAAATGCAAGTCAATTAAGTTTAAGAAAAGATGTCCAATTTTTGTTATCACATTTTTACTGTAAGGAGGGTTAAACCATATAATATTTCTTTTTCGTTTATTAGTAATAGAAGAATTTAGATTTGAATGATATTGGAGAATGGTGTGAAATCCAGACTTTTCTGGATTTCACACCATTATAAATTGGAGCAGTCATTATAAATTGGAGCAGTCTTTTGGAATATTTCTTTGCTTGAAGAATTGGAAGATAACCTATGTCCAATTGAGATTGGTAATTGTTTTAAAATGCTTGGTGGATGGTTGGAATTAGCATGGATATAATTTAACGTACTATCAGGTTTATGGTAAGGTTGAAAAGTGTTGTTATTAAGATTAAATGTAACATCAAGGTAATTAACAATTTTCATATTAGATTAAATGGAAATACTGAGATTGTTTTGTTTAAATATTTGAGTAAAATGCTTCCTAATTTTTTTCATTTTTGGACCGCTTGCGTTTTTAAATATGGCTAAGCCATATATATATATATATATATATATATATATATATATATATATATATATATATATATATATATATATATATATATATATATATATATATATATATAAAATATATCATAAAAAGCAATACATTTTAATATAATAATGTAAAATATAAATATCAAACATAAAGATTACACAAACTTGAAAAAAAATGAACTAACTTCCGTCTGTTGGAACTTGAGCCTGCAAGTAATACGATCGACTAATCACACCCTTAAGAAGTGCCTCTGAACAGTTTTTTAAAGTCAACTTCCTTAAATAATACTTTCCACTTTTATCAGCAATGAACCCCACAATTTCTCCTTCTTCAAACTGTTCATCTTCATTCTCCAGTGGCCAATGATATGCAATATCCCCATTAGTTGTCTGAATGGTTTGGTCAAGAAACAAATTTCCAAGTTGTAATGCTTTAGTTTGAACATGATCTGCAACTAACTTACTGCACTTGAGTACTTTATCATTCTCCGAGTAAGTATAAACTTCTCAAAAAATAAAAAAATATATATTTAACTAAATAAGTATATATATATATATATATATATATATATATATATATATATATACACATACATACATGTGTATATATATATACACATACATACATGTGTATATATATATATATATATATATATACACATACATACATGTGTATATATATATACAAATACATACATGTGTATATATATATATATATATATACATACATGTGTATATATATATATATATACACATACATGTATATATATATATATATATATATATATATATATATATACACATACATACATGTGTATATATATATATACATACATGTATATATATATATATATATATATATATATATATATATATATATATATATATATATAAATATATATATATATATATAAATATATATATATATATATATAATTTTGTCTTTTTTGACAAGCTGTTTCTTCTTATGTAAATTCATCAGGAACAGAGCAATAATAAAATAATAAAAACGTTTATCTAATTTTTTTTTTTGACAGGCTGTTTTTCCTTCTGCAGGTTTATCAGGAAGCTTCCTGATGAACCTCAAATGGAGATACAGCCTGTCTATTTTAAATATGGTTACAATGTTGTAATTTTGTTCTACCTTTTTTTCGCAACATATTTGTGTCTTTTAAACTTCTTTCAAAATTTCTGAACCAATCATACTTTTATTTAATGAACTGGAAATTTACTTAGTTTTTAATAACAACTTAATTGTGTAATATAGATTTTAGAACTATTTTTGCTGTGTGATGGATTTTTCCTCTGTACCTTCTTAAACCAAGCATTCTACTAATAAATCACATGTTTTTAACTCATTAAAATGATCCATTACTTTAAAAAAATCTTATTTTCAATTCCTAAAAATATTATTGTTTTATCTATTTTTATACAAGGAATGTGAAAAAATTTCTTACCTTTTCTTATGCTAGAAATGGCAGTTTTTCATCAATTAGAAATGGCAGTTTTTCAACAATTAGAAATGGCAGTTTTTCAACAATTAGAAATGGCAGTTTTTCAACAATTAGAAATGGCAGTTTCTCAACAATTAGAAATGTAAAAGTAAAACCAAAGTAAAATATAAAAAGTTATGAAATTAAATTTTCAGAATTTAAAGTTTCAAAATTTACTTTTCTTTTAGCCATTAGAAAAAAGAATTAATTTTAAAACGATCGCTTAATAAAAATTTATGCACAACTTATTTTTGTATCAAATTGATTATATTAAGATTCCATCACGTCTGCAAATAAACCATCGTTACAGCAAACCGAAAAAGATAACTTGAATTTAAACAAGAAAATGAAAAGTCTGCAAAGTCTTTTACGAAATATTTTCAGGTTTTTTACAAAATGTTTCCAAACAAAGTGAAGAAATTGGTTGCCCTTTGTCATTAGTATTATAATCAATTCGATCCAAAATGGTTCCTTATAATTAAATTTTTATAATATTTAAACTCTTTTTGATTAATAAAAATATAATACCATTATTATTTTATATGTTTTTTAAATATTTATATTTATTATTTTTTTCTTTAGTTTAAAATGAAATATAAAAGCAATCCTAAACACCTATTTTTAAAAAAGAAATTAAGTTATCGTTATATGCTGGCTAGTTTTTGAAAAGTTATTCTTTATTTCTTGATGTTTATAAAAATTATAATTTTTGTTTTCCTGGTTTTTGTTATTTTGTTATTTTTAACTATTACCTATTATCTTAGTTATAAGAAATAGTTAACAATACCTGATTAATATTTTTAATTTTCTAATTATATTCTCTCTTTCTCTCTCTCTCTCTCTCTCTCTCTCTCTCTCTCTCTCTCTCTCTCTCTCTCTCTAAATATATACATATGGGCAATTCTATTTTTAACTTATGTTATATAACATAATGAGACTATTTCTTGTTAATAACATTTTATTATTTTAATTATATTGTAATGAAAAATAAACAAAATAACTTATACACATTTTTTTGCACAAATATATAAATAACATAGTAAGACTATTTCTTTAAACTTCTACTATTCTTCTACTATATATAATATTAAATTATATTTAATTATAATATATTATAATTACTATAACATTTATACTAATATATATATATATATATATATATACATATATATATATATATATATGTATATATATATATATATATATATATATATATATATATATATATATATATATATATATATATATATATATATATATATATATATATATATATATATTAGGGTGGTGCTTAAAACAACTTTTTTGAGAAAAACCTGCTCGTACCCCCTAAATGTGTTTTATCTAATACAAAAACACTAGGTTTAAAATTTTTTTGAACAAAAAATATTTTTAGGGGTAGCTCAAGGCCCTCAAAAATTTGACCGGTCCCTAATATTTTGAAAAAAAAACTTTTTCTAAAGTATGTCAACCTGGTACTCAAAAGAAGCGATATTATATAAAAACTTTAAAAATAATAATCATCAAGTTGTTGAAATTTTTTGAGTACAACTCCGAATCTGACTCCAACTCAAAGCAAAATTTTTGAAAAATTCTTTAGATTCTTTAAAAAATATTACACGATAAGTTAATTTTTTTTTGACACATTTATGAAACGTTCTTTGAGGTTTAGTATGAACATAAGGTTAATTGAATCTTTTGTAATTGCATGTGCAATACCGAGACATTTTACTATAGAAGTCAGAGTCGCATTTTTTTTTAGCGACTCCGACTCCGCTAAAATTGTCGCAACTCTGCAACTCCGACTCTGACTCCACAGCCCTGGTGCCCATTATAGTATTTGTAGAAAAGAGAAAGAGAAGCAACATTATGACGATGTGATAACAGATGAAGGTTGGCTGCAAGAGCAGAGCCAACTAGGTTTACAATGCATTTTTGAACTTTGTTTAAAAGAAAAAGGGCATACAGTATTCCATACAAGGCCGGATTTAAGATTTATAAAGTTAGAGAATAGCATCCGGAGTAAGAAAGTGTCAAGCTCAATAAAGAGATGGAATCTTAGCAGATGCTAATTTTGCAATGGATTTGATATATGGTTTCCAAGAAAGATCGAAAGTATGAGTTAATCCTTGAAGATGAAGGGTAGATGACTCATCAAGTGCATTACCGTTCATAAATATAGGAAGGTCTAAATTATTGCGATAACGATTGGCTGAAAAAAATTGAGTTTTATCTGAATTAAAGTTCACCAGCTACTGTGAGCCCCATGCTGTAGCAGTAGTGAGATCTTTTTCAAGTTCAAACGTCCCTTCCAAGCAATCAGAGAGTGTTGGGTTCTTATCATGACAAGAATAAAAGGTAGTATCATCAGAGAACAATGCCACCTTAAATGTGAGAATATTTGGAAGATCTTTAATGTAAATTAAAAAGAGTATAGGGCCGAGGATTGAACCTTGAGGAATCCCTGAGGTTACTGTCCATCAAGAATAACTTTTATACTATGATTGGAAAGGAAGGATTTAACAATATTAAAGATGTTACCAGATACACCATAAGAAGAAAGCTTATGGAAAAGACCAGCATGCCAAACTTTATAAAAAGGTTTAGAAATGTCAAGAACAATGGACTTAACCTCTCCACCTTTACCTAATGCACGATAAAACTTATCAGTTTTATCTGTTAACTGTTAGCAAATTAGCCATTGAAGAAGATCAAAATCCATATTGATCAGAAAGTAAGTTATTAGATTCAAGATGAGAGACTAAGTGTTTGTTCATTAAAGACTCAAAAACCTTTTTATGATAGGAGGAAGACTAATGGGACGCACAGTGGGCTATTTGATTGATTTAGGCGGCCAAAACTAAATTTTGCAGAACTTCCAAAATAAATTAAAAAAGTTATTTTAGCAATATTGAATAGTTAGTGAATATTAAAAACGTTAAGTAACCGCAAATGGTTTTAACAAAAAGCGGTAGGATATATACAAAGTTGATCATTAATTATTGTCTACGCGTTTTCTTTTGGTCGCTTATTTTTTAAGCATTTATTAGCATCAAATAAAGTTTAATCAAAATATATTTCATAGTGTTTTGTGATGAATTCTAATGAAGTTAGTAAAGGTAAATACATTTGGAAAGTTTTAATCAGTTTATTTGTGATTATATATAAGTTTGTTGGTTTTGTAAAAACTCTTTTCTCTCTCTTGTTTTTTGCAATTTTCACTGCAAACTATAAGTAATTAGTAATACTTCCAAGCATTTCCAGGTTACTGTTTTTTTATTAATGATATGTAAAAATCACCTGCCATTTTTTGCCATTTTGTTCTCCGTATTTATTTATTCACTCTTCCTGTTCTTAAGTGTATGATAGGAAAAGACCACGGGGGTTGTTGTTTTTCTATAAATGTTTTTTTCTCTTTTTTTTTCTGTGTACTTTAAAGAAAGTAAATGGTTAACTTTTTTTAAATAAAGGTTTACGATTAGTATTATATATTTTATCGAAACTATAAAATAATTTATTTAATAAAAAAAACACTAAACTTTATGTTCAGGTATATTTTAATTTTAAACGGTGTTTATAATAGGTTCGTCAGATGTCAGGGAAACAACCCGAAGAATGTTTTTTGATCTAAACATTGTAATACCTGCAGTACTGCATCCAGGGGGTAGGCCAACAAAGAATTTTAAAGAATTAAGCGAGAGAAGCAAACGAAGGAAAACAGAAAACATCCGTGCTACTACAAGTTCAGAAACATTGATTTGTGCTGCTCAGGTGGAATTAGGTGTTACTGGAAACAGAACTGCTTCTAAAATTTTAAAGGACATTATCCACTCCCCAAAGCGGGCAAAAATGTATAAGATAGCATACTCTAGTATTTTACAGGAAAAAAAATCACAGCTATCGGTATTAAGTGCACTGGCCATGTTTGTAGAAGCTGGTCTTTCCAGAAGACAATATGAAATTGTAAGAAGTTCTTGTAAAACATTATATCCTTGCTATAGTATCCTGCAAAAGGCAAAAGTAGATTGTTATCCAAATAAGGAATCTTATTTTGTCACTGAAACTTGTGTCGCAGTCAATTTACAAGATTTATTGGACCATACCATTACATGATTGGTCGTGTATTTAGAAGAAGTGGTACAAAATTTTAACGAAAAAGAAAGAAGTTCATTAATATTACATTGTAAATGGGGTTGTGACGGATCACAGCAAAATCAATATAAACAAAAATTTCTGAATGACGTCGATTCTGATGCAAGTATATTTCAGAGTTCTTTTGTACTGCTTCAATTAACTTGTACTAAAAACAACCGATTGATCTGGCAAAATCCAACTCCTTCTTTGCCACGTTATTGTCGCCCTATAAGAATTAGATTTGTCAAAGAATCTAATGATATAACAAATGAAGGATAAAACTTATTGAAAATTCAATTATCTCTTTGCATGATACAAAATTGACAGTGGGTGGAAATTTATTTTCAGTTAAACATAATATGATGCTCACTATGGTTGATGCTAAGGTGTGTAACGCAGCCACTAAAACAGCTTCAACTATAAGATGCTATATTTGCGATGCAACATCAAAGGATTTTAATAACTTGACTACTGAAAAAGATGTCAAACCAGATACACTGAAGTTTGGGTTATCAATTTTGCATGCCAGGATCTGAATATTTGAAAATTTATTGCATCTATCTTATAAACTACCTATTAAAAAATGGCAAGCGAGATCAGAAAATGAAAAATTAATTGTGAAACAAAAAAAACTAGAAATACAATCAAATTTTAGAAAAAAAATAGGTTTAATTGTAGACGTACCTAAGCCTGGATTTGGTAACTCAAATGATGGCAACACTACCTGACGATTTTTTGCAGACCCAGAGTTGGCAGCTGAAATTTAGAAGATATACTGTAAAAACTGCAGAATTATATGTCCAATTATACGATGACTCCTACAATGCATAAAATCCTTATTCATGGTTTTATTGTAATAGAGCATGCTTTGTTAGATAATTTTCCAGAGTCTTGCAACCTCGACGCTCTTAATAAATTACTAATTAGCTCAGATCCTATTTTAACTGGCATGAGAAAATTACCAAGAAAAAATACTAAACCATTCTTAAAAGAAACCTTGGAGATGCTACTTCCAGCTGAACTTTCTAATTTTACTGATATTGTTGACACAGAGGAGAAATCTTCAGAGCAATCAGGGATGTCTTCAGAGCAATCAGAGATGTCTTCTGATGAAGAAATTTAGCTTTCAGCATCATCCTTTTATTAGTAGTTATTTTGTGTTAAAATATAAATAGCAGTAAAGATTTTTTTTTTAATATTTACCATAGCTTAATAAGAGTTATATAGTAATTGCAAGTGCTTCCAAATACATTAAGATAACACAAATCGCAATGTTTTGATTTTCGATTCCGAGAGGAAGAAAAGTTATCCACCATATATAATAGGTTTATATCATGATAAGAACCATATAAAATAGGTTCTTATCATATTTATGCTATAGAAAAGTGTGAAAAAAAATAAAAGTTGTGGGGAGAGGGGGGGGGGGAGTCTATCATAGATAAATTTTTTTTAAATCTTTTGTTTTCTCTTTTTATTTGTCTTCTCTACCAGCTTTTCCTGAAAAAAGTTAAACTTTTTTAATCAAAGATTATTAAATATTTTTGGCTGCCTAAATCAATCAAATACCCCGCAGTGGGACGGTAGTTAAAGAGATTACCGCCCCACAGTGGGACGGTAGTTACATTTAGATTGCTTTTCTGTAAAAGAAAAATCAGAGAATTGTTTTTTATTTGTTTCATTTTTAGGACTAATAAAGTGTAAAGGATAAGTAAAAATTAATAAAAAAGTATATAATACAAGATCAGTATATTTTATTTTCTAGCTGAAACCTCTCACAAGAAAAACAAGAACATGTTGCAATTTCATCAGCCTCATTTAGAGTTGCATAGTTAATATTCTCATAAGCAGTAGGTGACTTTGAAACAAAACCTAAACAATAGCAAATGATAATTGGGTGATAACAAATTTTCTGTTTTGTAGTATTTAAGTATTTTTGTTACTTATACTTTTTATTTTTATATGAATTATTGTATATTAATATTAACTCAAATCATCCACCCCAAATTCTAAAACAAATTCCGATTTCAATTAATAACAGGCTAAACCAAAACTCCTCTAATGAAAACATATTCAATTTATCTAAACAAATTGGCATAACAGAGGGTGAATCGAAAAAACATTTTGCCAATCATAAGCAATCCTTTAAAAATAAAAAGTATTCAAAAGACACCATGCTGTCAAAATATATATGGGAATTAAAAGATAAAAATATTGATGATTTTATAATGAATTGGTCCATCCTTAAAACAGTACCTGCATATAACAATATTTCCAAAAAATGCATACTATGTCTACAAGAAAAATTTGAAATTATTACACATGCAAACCAAGAATGTTTATTAAACAAAAAATCAGAATTAATTTCTAAATGCAGGCACGAAAATAAGTTTCTCCTAAAAAACTATAAAAACAAGTGAGCTCAAATAATAAAAACATTAAATCCCCACTTTTTAAAAAATGTTTTTAAAAAAAAAGCAGAAGTAATCAATTCTAAAGAATTCTTTTTTTATAATAGTGTCAGCATATTCCACAAATGTGTGAAAATTTACAGTAGTTATGACATTTGCAATTTCTTGTAATATAATTTTTTGGTATAAATTAAAGTTTTATTAATTTGATCATTCATTTCTGATGAGTCTTTATTGATAAAACACAGTGTTAAATGAAAAAAATTTTTGCTAAGTGATTTTTTACTACTTTATATATATTATATATATATATATATATATATATATATATATATATATATATATATATATATATATATATATATATATATATATATATATATATATATATATATATATATATATATATATATATATATATATATATGTATACATATACATTTATATGTACATATATATGTGTATATGTATACGTATATAATATATATATATATATATATATATATATATATATATATATATATATATATATATATATATATATATATATATATATATATATATAAAGTTAAATACAAATCTTACAATTGTTCGTTGATTCATCAGTCTGTTCAAAAGATGGTGAATAGTTTGGCGAAATAAATGGTGAAAGCAGTGCTTTTATAGATGACGTAGCTAAAAAATATTTAATCTTATTCTGAAACATCAAAACACTTATATTTAATAAATTATACCACCTAATAAAACACCACAACACTAGCATTACATGCTGCAACACAATCATCCCACAGCAAATTAAAAAAAAAATGATAAAGCAAAGGTCACAAAACAAACAAAAATTAAAATTTAAAAAAACAATACTGCACAACTCAAGTTTTTTAAACAAACATGGCACAAAAACTACATTATTTGATAAACATAATACTTACTAGAAGTTGGAGACTCAGATAGAGTAGAACAATCTGAAGAACATAAATCTGTTGTGTTTAGACGAGGTCGTTTCTGATCAAATTTCATTGTGTCTAATATTAATATAAAAAGGAAAAAATAAATTTTGTGCATTAAAAAAATCAATTCAAAATTTACATTTTAATTATACTAAATTATTACTAAGAGTAAATTAATTTTTTTACTTTGATGAAATCATAAATATAAATATAGAAAACTGAAAATGTTATTTTTTAAAACAACCAAACTTCAAAATAATTCCTTCATTCATTCAACATCAATCAGTTTAAATTTTTTAAAAAGTCACAAATTTAAACGCTTATATATATTATATATATTATATATTATATATTATATTATATATATATATATATATATATATATATATATATATATATATATATATATATATATATATATATAATATATTTATATAGTAGGTAGAATTAGATAAGTGTATTTACTAATTGTTATATATATATATATATATATATATATATATATATATATATATAACAATTAGTAAATACACTTATCTAATTCTACCTACTATATAAATATATTATATATACATATATATATATATATATATATATATATATATATATATATATATATATATATAATATATATATATATATATATATATATAATATAAATATATATATATATATATATAATATATATATATATATATATATATATATATATATATATATATATATATATATATATATATATATATTTATTCAACTTGTTTCTCCGCGCAGCGGTCTTGTTTGTCAAGGTTCGTGTTTCGGAGTTATAGAGTTGAGAGAGGGTTATAACCACTACTAAGTAGCCTCCTCGTCTGTAGTGGGTTTCTCGGCCTTGAGGAGGTGGATAACAAAACAAAAAAAAAAATATATATATATATATAATAATTAGTATATATAATAATTAGTAAAAACACTTATCTAATTTTACCTACTGATGATCAAACAAGTAGTCGAAGATAAAATTAGATAATTGTTTTTACTAATTTATTATTGCTCTGTTTTTTAAGAACATTGAGCACTCTATTTGTAGAATAAACTAACATAATATATATAGTGTCGGGAATAGTGTGAATCCGCGGATCTACTAAAGGTAGGGAGCGCATATCTGCATTTCAGTTTTACAGGAAAAAATTAAAACTGCATATTTTATTTATTTCAACAGATTGTGGGCTCATTTTAGCATAAAGAGTTTCATTATTGTTCCTTGTAGTGTCAATAATAGCTATTAGGTGTTATAGTTAACAATTTAGTTGCTAGAACACTTATGCACATTCGACTATACAAAAAATTCACCACAATGGTATCCCATAGAATAAGTTATGTGGTATTAAGTCAAACTAGTAATACCATTACAAAATAATAAATATATAATAATTAAATGAATTGGATATTATGAATTGTAATATCTGTTTAAAGCCTTATATCTTACAACCTTAATTATAAAAGAAAAAAATATATATTTATATATTCTGAAATCTCTTCAAAATATAAACATTGATAGTATAATAATACTTCAATAACAGTTTGCTTACATTTTAACTTTTTTAATTACCTTATTAGAAAGCTTTTTTAATTACCTTATTAGAAACAATAGAGCAAGTTTTAGAAATAATATTACAAAATAAAATCATAACAATGAAAGAACATCTTCATCTAGCAAAAATATATCTTTATGACTTTATAATAAATCTTTATAATTATAAAATAATAAAAATGTTACTAATTAAGATTAAAATTATAAAAAACATCAAAAAAGTATAAGAACTGTTTCAACTACTCAAAAAATAACAACTGTCATAATAAACTGTAATTATAGTTTAACAGAATAAAATAAAACCATTTTTGTAATGCAAGTTGTCATAAAATTCATGACAATACTTGGGTATAAAACTTTTTAACTGTTTTAAATGCATATATTTTGATTTTGAGATTAATCTTTCATTAAAGAGTTGTGGTGGAATCGCTTGTTGAACTTTTTTTGTTCTTTGTAGTAATTGTTTAAATTGTTCATCGTAATATAATTTGAAATCTATTTTATAATTGGGATTGTATTTTAAAACTATGATATCAACTACACATTTTGCTCCAGTACCTCTTCCAGGATGAATTATATCATAAATAAGGTAGCTTTCAATACAATAATATTTAAAAAATGTATGGTCTACCACTGCTACCTCATATGGAGATGGATTGCGTCTAGCTTCTTTGGTAACTAAAGAGTATTGACTAGGTAAAAATACTTCATGGTGTTTTAACTTTTAGTGCCAAGATTGTATATTACAAGATTATGAACCATCAGTTTTGTTTTAAAATACAATGCACTGGCTGTCAAGTATAGACATAATTTCACTGCTTGTAAATCAGCAGTGATAACGTGAGTTGTTCCATTTTTTGCAGCTATTTTGTCTAAAGCATTTTCCTGTCTAGCTAAATCTTTCCATGATACATGTTGTTGATATTCTTACTCTGTAATATTTCCTCTTTTATATGAACAACATAGATCGCATGCATCCTTCTTTTGTTGAAACAAAGCTATGTTTTTATCTTTCAAAACATCTTCAAATAGTTTTCTGGAAGCCACTCTCTGTCCATTTTTTGTAGCATTTTTAATGTAGATATGATAGAGCTCACGTTTAGACTGTATTATGGGTTCTAGATACAATTTTTTACTTTCCTTTCTGCAGTAGTGAAAAGGCAATTTAGGCATAGCTCTTAAAAACATTTGTACTAACTCTTTCAATGAATGGCTTGAACATGCAGTATCATTACATTTTATTGCTGTATTCCTATTAGATTTTTCTCCTAGCCAGTACCTAACTGTCCACTCTTTAATACCCAACATTCCTAAAAACGTCTTTAAACATACTTTCATTTTGTTATATTCAATTTTAAATAATAATTTTGTAATACTTCACCTTGTATTATTGTATTAGCCTTTTCAGTACTTTTTCTTTTAGTCAATTTTTTATCAACTAAAGTTGAAACAAAGATTTTCTTGGCTATCCAGCTCATCTTCCAAAATTTTTAAAAAATATCTAATCTTACACTTTCTGTAAACTTTTTCCAGTTAATCATATTACTGTGTAAGCATTTGTTTGACTTACAAGCCTCTCTAATTTTTCGCGCAGGTCTTACAGTGATTTGTAAAATTTATTCCTCACCAGTCTTTTATGGCCTAGCATTCTCAAATTCTTATTACTAAATCTTTTTGAAGACATTTGTTCTGGTTTTCATTTCCTTTTTCTAGATTCAACTGCTACTTCAGGTTCCAAATTTCTTTCATGAAAAAAATTGTTATTGCTGTCTATTGATTTAATGAAAGCTATCTGTTCAACATTTGTTATTTCAGAGATTGGATTGTTATTTGGATCAGGAACAGAACCATCTACTGAAGATTAAAAAGTTGAAAATTCACTTGGTAAACTATTGATTTCAGTACGTACAAACTCCACAAAAAAAATATGGTAAATTACCAGTCATTTTCTTTAAAGCTTTTAATGTCAAAACTTGATGTGTTTTATCTTCTTGACAAGAGTTTGCTGTTATTCAGCATTTTAACCTTTAATAATCTAAAAAAAATTAGCTATATAAAAATAAAAAAAATATTCATAATGATTTATATATTTTTGTAATAAGAATATATTTTTAAATAAGAAATGCATTTATATAAATTGGCTAACATGCAAAAGGTTCACCTTATAATATTCAGTCATTACTAATGACTGAATATTGTAAGGTGAACTGTGCTTATGACATTAAAATGAAAAATTAAAGTAAAATTTTTCAAAACGCTAATTTTATTTAGAGTTATTTAATGCTAATACTAACAAAACTAATAGACTGCCATCATATTCAATTTAGAAGTTGGAAAACTAATTCTATACAAGAAGTAAAGTCCTGCAATTTTATATATTGTAAAAACAATTTAAAAAAAGCAGTATTAATCTACAAAAAATGTAAACAAATACTTTTCTCTTTATAAAAACATGATTGCGCATTGATGGTTTTTTTTGTAAAAAAACAATTAAACTCAATGAGGCAACTTTTTTTAAAGACACATTGTTTTTTTGTAAAACGAGTTTTACAAAAATGGTAAACAAAAAAAAGTTTTTTCTTTATTACATTTGCATATAGATAATAAAACCAAAACTTACCTGATGTGGTGTTGATTATTTTCAATTATAAACCGAATTTAACAACTTGTCAAATTAACAACAACATTACAGATACGCTCCAGATGATAACCGATCACATATGCGGTATATATATATGTAAGTTATACTAATGTACTCTACACTACAAATATATGTATATATGTATTTGTAGTGTAGAGTATACTAGTATGCTTTACTTTACAAATATATATATATATACATATATATATATATATCTATACATATATATACACATTTTTTTATACTCTTTTCTGGGTATACTTTAATTATGCCTTCTTTGAGTGGGTATGTGGTTTTTTGACTTTTAATGTTGTAAAGTTACAAAGATTTTTTTTATATTGAATTGAATAAGTTTAATAGTTAAAGATGGATTAAGCTAAGTGTTGTGAGTACAGCAAGTAGCAAATTATTGTAATTTCAGCTTGGTTAAGATAATTTGTGAGGGTTTGAGTAAAATAGGGTAAAACGTTATCATAGAAAAATTTAAAATTTTGAGTGCCTGTTACATGTCTTGGCTTATTTATTATATATATAACAGGTTTTCAAAATTTTTTTGTATAATATTGACTAATAATGGTGTCCCCATTTTCAATACAAAATGTTCATAAGTAAATACAGTTCAAGGTGGTATATAAACATTTAATGACTTTTTTATCTTATTGTAACTTTATAGATGAAGTTCTACTACCTTTTTTGTAACGACCAACGAATGCATGTGTGTAAGTATAAATACACATTTAGATAACACATTGCACTGAAATAGCCTACTACTGGGGGCTTAAGTATATACATTGACTATATTATAGCCTACTGCTGAAAGAAGTGCAGCTACAGTGACTGAGGGTTTAGGATATATATATA